CCCCGACGTAGTTTATCGCCCTTAATTGCCCCGAAGTTGTGTAAACACGCCGGGGTAATTGAACGGACGCCTCCGAACACTGGGCCGCACGCGGTGCCACGAAGCGCATGTTCCCACTTGTGCAGCCCACTGCAACAAGGAAGGCAGCCAAGGGCATTGCAGTAAAACGGGGGTAGAACAGGGGGGTGGCGAGGGGAGGGGGGTTGGGGGGGCAGCCCTGGCAGGGCAGCTTTGCTCTAAGACTCTTTAAATAAATCCTAACCAAATAACGCTGCGCGAAGGATCCTAAATAATGATATAACAGATGGACAGTACAGCTCCGAGACAGGATTCTATGGAACATTGGATTTGTTTACCGTTTACTATTTTTTTTATATATATATTTTTTATTTTACCAGGTAAGGCCCACTGAGATATACATCTCTTTTTCAGACGCGACCTGGCCACAAATGATAGCTCAACGAAGTGGCTTATCACGTGGAAATGTACTGCAGCCAAATACGCTAAACGCACGTTGATTCTAAATGTGGAGGGAAAAAAACAGAGGACCCGGCGACAAATCCACGTGACCACGGGGAGAACAAGATACAGGCGTCAGGGTCGAGATCGAACCCACGGCCTCCTGTATACCAGGCGAGGTAGTTAACATATCGCCACTGTGGCGCCACTCTAATTCATAGAGAGCAGCACTCACTACCTCCTTCCAATGTTATAGGGCACAGCAATATAAGAATAACTACATACACTTATATGGAACTATCGTTTTTAATGGGAAAAAACCGGATGATAATCCACTGTAACATGGTTACAAATGTTTGTTAATAGCTTCAAAAAGTCAAAGAGTCTCCACCTGCTCGCCATCATTGTCAACACGTGGCCTGGAATCTTCTCCAGGTGGTCTCCAGAGCCCAGAGGCACAATTCTCGTGGCATTGTTGCAAATTCTCCGAAGTGTTCACATTTTTTTCGAAGCACCCAGGATATAACAGGGGCAGCACTGCTTAAAGGTGTCCTAATACAACTCTAAGTGGGGAAGCAGCCCTCGCAAAAATGTTTTTTTTCAGTACCATTAAGTGATGAGGCAGCGCCGATGAAAGGAGTGGTATTTGCAATGTGCAGCATTTGCAGAAGGTCCCGTGAGACCCGCGTGCAATTTGTCAATTTCCTGGGGGAGGGGGGCGGGTGGGGATAACCTGGGAAAGGTTTTCACCAACCTACAACGACCAGCGTGGTGAAGTATGGTCAAACAGCCCCCATTGACTGACGCGGCGTGAGCGGGGGAGGCTTGATCCAATGAAATATTGACATATAGTAAAACAAAAACAGAACACATTCCAGATGGGTTATATGAATTTTTAAATAAAATGCATAGTAATGCATAATAAGGCATTTTACCGTGGGGTGCCTCGCTCCTACTGCTGGACATCTGTGAAAAAGAGTTGAATAGCTCATCGCATTTCTCCGGCAGTCTAAATAAAGATTTTCATTCTTATTTGTTGTTACGTAACTGCTATATATTTTGGGATGTTTGGCCAATTCGAACAAGTCTGCATCAGCAGCAGGCCATGCTTTCCCACCTAATGACGGACGCTTGTGTTGCGCCCGAAACGTCGTGATTTATTTAATTGTATTTTATACCTACGTGACTTTACCGAAAGAACCACAGAGTATGGATTCCTGCAGTCACGAAAGCTTCAAATCAAGAATGAGAGTTTTTCCGTCTTGTGGGAAGGGGAAACCGGAGAGCCCGGAGACAACCCACCGCGGATATCTGCAGGAGTTGACACTCTGAAAGCTCCGCACGGATATATTCAAGAATGCATTGCTGTCATTTCCATCTCCCGGCCACCTCGCAGCCAGCCAGCCAGCCCCAACCCTTACAACACCTGTGATGTGCTATGAAGAAGGGTCGAAACTCGAAACATCGCCTGTTACATGTTTTACTTTTTATAGCCACACACACACAAAGTGGTATTCACGAACGTGTTGCGTTTTTTTCTCTTGCTTAATAATAGCTATTACATATTAACCGAGTGCTTTATAAACACGTTTCCAAGAGTATTGACTGCATGATGGTGACATCATATCACCGATTACGCCGGTAATTTGTCTTTACAGGTTCGTGTGTAATTTAGAGTTATTTGGATCCTGCTATAGATTTCCACAAGATAAGCCACTTCGTTGAGCTATCATTTGTGAAAAAGAGCTATATAGCTCAGTGAGCCTTGCCTAGAAAAAACAAAAGATAGTGTAGTAGGTTGTTAATAGACAGCACGTGTCTAATGGCTGTTACAGATCGTAAACTTTCTATGATTTAAATGACGAAAATCATTGCAAGTTGGGAAGAGATGGAAGGATAGGAAAAAAACACCTTTAAAAAGTGGGATGATGAAAGTTGAGATGGAGAGTGGAGGAGATGGAAAGTTGGAGAGATGGAGAGTGGGCGAGATGGAGAGTGGGAGAGATGCAGGGTGGGAGAGATGGAGAGTGGGAGAGATGGAGAGTGGGAGAGATGGAGGGTGGGAGAGATGGAGAGTGGGAGAGATGGAGGGTGGGAGAGATGGCTAGAGTTGGGATGGAGAGTGGGAGAGATGGAGAGTGGGAGAGATGGAGAGTGGGAGAGATGGAGGGTGGGAGAGATGGCTAGAGTTGGGATGGAGAGTGGGAGAGATGGAGAGTGGAAGAGATGGCGAGTGTTGGGATGGAGAGCGGAAGAGATGGGGAGTGGGAGAGATGGAGAGTGTTGGGATGGAGAGCGGGAGAGATGGAGAGTGGGAGAGATGGAGGGTGGGAGAGATGGAGGGTGGGAGAGATGGCTAGAGTTGGGATGGAGAGTGGGAGAGATGGAGAGTGGGAGAGATGGAGGGTGGGAGAGATGGAGAGTGGGAGAGATGGAGAGTGGGAGAGATGGAGGGTGGGAGAGATGGAGAGTGGGAGAGATGGAGGGTGGGAGAGATGGCTAGAGTTGGGATGGAGAGTGGGAGAGATGGAGAGTGGGAGAGATGGAGAGTGGGAGAGATGGAGGGTGGGAGAGATGGCTAGAGTTGGGATGGAGAGTGGGAGAGATGGAGAGTGGAAGAGATGGCGAGTGTTGGGATGGAGAGCGGAAGAGATGGGGAGTGGGAGAGATGGAGAGTGTTGGGATGGAGAGCGGGAGAGATGGAGAGTGGGAGAGATGGAGGGTGGGAGAGATGGAGGGTGGGAGAGATGGCTAGAGTTGGGATGGAGAGTGGGAGAGATGGAGAGTGGGAAAGATGGAGAGCGGGAGAGATGGAGAGTGGGAGATGGCTAGAGTTGGGATGGAGAGTGGGAGAGATGGAGAGTGGGAGAGATGGGGAGTGGGAGAGATGGAGAGTAGGAGAGATGGAGAGTGGGAGAGATGGAGGGTGGGAGAGATGGCTAGAGTTGTGATGGAGAGTGGGAGAGATGGAGAGTGGGAGAGATGGCTGGAGTTGGGATGGAGAGTGGGAGAGATGGAGAGATGGAAAGTGGGAGAGATGGAGGGTGGGAGAGATGGCTAGAGTTGGGATGGAGAGTGGGAGAGATGGGGAGTGGGAGAGATGGAGAGTGGGAGAGATGGAGAGTGGGAGAGATGGAGGGTGGGAGAGATGGAGAGTGGGAGAGATGGAGGGTGGGAGAGATGGCTAGAGTTGGGATGGAGAGTGGGAGAGATGGAGAGATGGAAAGTGGGAGAGATGGAGGGTGGGGGAGATGGCTAGAGTTGGGATGGAGAGTGGGAGAGATGGAAAGTGGGAGAGATGGTGAGTGGGAGAGATGGAGGGTGGGGGAGATGGCTAGAGTTGTGATGGAGAGTGGGAGAGATGGGGAGTGGGAGAGATGGAGGGTGGGAGAGATGGCGAGTGTTGGGATGGAGAGTGGGAGAGATGGGGAGTGGGAGAGATGGGGAGTGGGAGAGATGGAGAGCAGAAGAGACGGGGAGTGGGAGAGATGGAGAGTGGGAGAGATGGACAGTGGGGGAGATGGAGAGAAGAAAAATGCTCTCAGGACACAACGAAGAAGGATAGAAAGATGAAGACCCTTCAGAAAATATGTGGAAAGGGAGAGATAGAGACGGACTTCATGGAAGAATTAACGACTCGAGAATGGGAGGAAATCCCCCCCCCTAGGGATGAACAGAGGGAGTCTCTGGATAGAGACTCTTTAAAGAGACAGAGAGAGCACATTTGGAGACCCTTTAGAGAGCGAGAGAGACATGGAGAGAGAACATTTCTTCACTTGCAAGAGTGAACTTGCAAGAGTGAACTTGCAAGAGTGAACTTGCAAGTACAAGGACGTTTAAGCAACATATATATTCCTACTTGCAGTACAGAAAAGAACTTGCAAGAGTGAACTTGCAAGTACAAGGACGTTTAAGCAACATATATATTCCTACTTGCAGTACAGAAAAGCACGCGACGATGAGAAAGTTAAACAACCACTTGCACGGAGTAACATGTGTTTTAATATCGCGATAATCGTCGTATCGTGATATTTAATATCGCACCGTTAAATAAATCGTGTGTGCAGAGCACGATTTTTTTTCGTGGTTTCCATAGCAAGAAATACACTTTACCGAATGGTGGGAAACCGAATCCGCGATAATCGTCATATCGCGATATTTAACATCGTATCGTGAACTATGTTATCGCGGTAATTGTCATAGCGCGATATGTAACGTCGTATTTTATCGTGAGATATGATATCGCAGTAATCGCAATATCGCGATGTGGAACGTCGTATCGTGAACTGTGATATCGCGGTAATCGTCATATCGTGATATTCGACGCATTATTTTTAACGATGATATCGCGGCAATCGTAATATCGCGATATTTTACACAGTATCGTGAACAGTGATATCGCGGTAGTCGTAATATCGCGATATTTGACATTGTATCGTGAAATATTATATCGCGTAACCTCGGCGAAGCGCGTTTATTTTCGTCACATTCCCATGGCAATCACTTCCCCCTCCCCGTGGGTTACGTCACTTCCTGTTCCCTAACCACCCCCACCCCCCCCTTCTTACCGGGGGTCAGAGGTGACCGCTGCTACAAAAATACTCCCGGCGCACGTCAGTCGCACTCGATCTCCTCCTGGTCCCCCGTGTAGACACCCGGACCTCACCTCTAAGGCCCCCAACTTTGTCTTCCCCCCAATTGTCTCGTGCCTCAGGCAGGGATGAGCGAGACTCACGCCGAGTACCGTTCGCCCCTCGTGAGCCGCTACGCGTCCCCGGAGATGGCGCGAAACTTCGGCGACGAGAAGAAATTCTCCACGTGGCGCCGGCTCTGGCTGCTGCTCGCGCGGGCTCAGCAGGTGGGTGACTGGGGCAAGGCAGTCGGGTGGGGAGGGCACGGCAATGCATGAGGAGCGGCACAGGGAGAGACACAGAGGAGGCAACGCTAGGCGTGGGTGGCACTGCATGCGACTGAGGAACCAAACGGCAGTGGACGTGACGGTGGAAGTCGGGCATCGAATGGGCAACCTGGGCAAGGCAGAGGGCACAGTTGGAGGGCAAGGCTTAGGCGTCGGTGGCAGTGCATGAGACGTGGCCTGGATGACATGGGCGTAGGCGGTGGGCATGGTATGGGGCAGTGCAGTTGGCAGGGCAGTGGGAATGTCAATGGGCATGGCTTAATGGGCATGGCTCGCAAGCGGCACTTGTTTACGCAGCGCCACCGTGAGGTCCAGAGGGGTGCCCGGTGACAGATGTCGCTGCCCAGAGTTGGCGATAGAAAGTCCACATTCCCCATGACAGGCGGTCTCTCAAAATAGGACAACCACTGTTTGATGATGTACCACCACATCGTGATGCTAATTAATGTATTGTGATAGTATGATGGTGATGGTGACAATCGTGGTGGCGTTGTTTCAGACCAAGGTTCAACTACAATTCTAACTTATTCATAATGAACTAATTTGAGCCAGCAATGCTGCAGTAACTTAGCTATAGCTGGCGTAAGTCGATCGCATACTAGAGGTTTTTAACTCAAAACTTTCTAACGCTTAAGGCAAGTCCTATGACCACAGTGAAAATGTAGCTGCTGAAATTGGCAGTCAGGCTGCCAGATTTAGCTCCGCGTGGTTTGAGGTCATGCGCACCAGACCCTGGGGCAGCATTCTGTGTCTATCTCTCGTCTGTCACTGGCTTTTTTCCACTTTTTTTATTCATGTATTTAAATCCTCTTTGATTTAAAACTATACAAAAAACGTTCGTATGGATGACAGTTTATATGTTCTTCCAAAAAACATTATTCAGGATTAACTTTGTGCAATCAAGGCCTTTCCCGAGCAGACTTGTGATGCAACAATCCATCAAGCTCCTGCACATGAACTGATTTCATCTATCTCCGTGGTGGACGTCCTCTTGAGCGCGTTCCCTCCCTTGGCTGCCACCCCACCGTTAGGACTCGACCACCGATCAAGAAGCATGAAACAGTCATGCACACTCCGGTTATCCTCGCAGCAGTGGCTTTTGGCTAACCGTCGAACAAAGACGATCACCGCATCGCGCGCTTTCAGATGCGATTCTGCGGTTGTCTGGAACACTCTTCCGATATTAGGACGCCACTGGGGGAGCTATGTGCTTTAAAATCTGGATTTAAAACGAATTTATTTATAACTTTTATTTAATTTGTTGTCCTTTTCCCCTGCACCTTCGATTAGCACGATTGGCTACGTACAGTGAGAAAGAAGTTCAACATACATCATCCCTTCTGGGGACGTGTCCTGTCCAAGCCCCTTTATTAACAACAGTGTGATGTCTACAATGTGTGTTTGTTCTCTAATCCGTGCGTTGCTCTTCCTGTCTCTGTGTCATCCCAAGCATTCATGTCTCCATGCTCTTCACACTTTTCAGCTTTTGATTCCATCGTCTTTGTCAATGTCCATGTTTGTGATCCATATGTGATAGCAGGTAATAAGTACACGAATAACACATTTCCGTCAGGCAATTTGGTACTAATACATTTTCATTATCAAGTTCAGTTTTTCAGAAGCACTCCAAAGACTCTCCTTTGCCTCTTGAATTAATTTGGTCCCAGTCAGCCTTCAATAACTGCCAAGGGTAATTGTATTTTAATAAATATATTGTTGTGTTTTCAAAGCTTTGTCCCTTCAACAGATATTTTCACTTGTTTATTAGGCCATGTCGTACATGACCTTGGTTATGCTTATATTTATTCTGATAAAAAATGGGGATAAATATTAACCATGGCTGATTTGCTAATGATATGGTCATTACAGTAAATAGTGGGAATACACTACACGAATTAGATAGAATAACTTAATAAACAAAATATTTTAATATCTGTGATACATTTTTCCTATAAATGCATCCAGAATATAATTTTAAAAAGAGCATGGCGTGGATTACCAACACCAGTAAGGCGACAATTGTGGTCAGGCAAAGTGCTGGCCGCACCATTTTTTTGTGCCCAGCCTTAATAGGTGCTCGCAAACATCATTTGCCCCAACAGGCATGTACGGCTATAGAGAACATGTTTTTACCTGGGTAAACGTATTGGTGCATAAATGCTTATGTCCATGTGTGAGTGCGCATGTTCTAGTGTAGTTAGCGAACCCGGGGACCTGAGTTTGTTTCCCGCTCATGGCCACCACCAATACCAGTGGCAATTATCTGGACCATTCCTGGGTCTCCCCTAGGTCGACTCATCCTCAAATGATTACCTGGTGTGGTGTGTAACCACGGTTACTAGGGGACAAAGGCGGATGGGCATGGTGCGGCCACCTACCCCCTCGTGTGCTGTGCCAGCCGTCATAGGTGGTCCCGAACAGCACTTGCCCCCAACAGTCTGTGCAGGCTATAGAGGGGATCTTTGTCTATACACGGAATTATCCAAGCCTAGGAAGGTCGAAACAGATGTAGAATTTCCAAGCTTTAACAAATGCTCCTAGTTAAAATCCAAAAGGCTGGTACAGACTATTACCTGACAAACCATATTGTATGTACTGTACTGTAGACTGAGGTACAGGGCAGATGTTTCTAAATTATGTGTGCATAATCCAGCAGTAGATAGATAATGGCTAATGATGATGAGCACAGTGTATATCGGAATGCGTGTATATACCGGTACGTGTGAGTGTGCTTGTGTATATGCGTGCCAAGTGCTCGTCTTATTCTCTCTCCTCCCGCATCAAATCCTCTTTCACATCGCCTTCCCCCACCCCCTCTTCCACATTGCCTCTCCCGACCCCATCACCACCACCATCACCAACATCACACAGACGCTAGGCCTGCCCGTCACCGACGTCCAGCTCGCAGAGATGGAGGCGAACCTCCACAACATCGACTGGGCGATGGCGGCCGAGGAGGAGCGGCGGTGTCGACACGACGTGATGGCGCACGTGCACACCTTCGCACACACCTGCCCCACCGCGGCCCCCATCATCCACCTGGGCGCCACGTCCTGTTACGTGGGCGACAACACGGTACCGTTAAATCGTCGTTTATTGTGAAATCGTCGTTAAATCAATGTGGGTGAATTGGTGGCGAGATGTTAACCACCTCACCTGGTATACAGGAGGGTCATAGGTTCAATCCCGACCCTGGTGCCTGTCTATGTGTGAGTTTGCGTGTATCTCCCCGTGGTTGCATGGATTTTCCGGTTTATTCCTCAACACATTTAGAAACGAATGTGCATTTAGAGTATTTGGGTGCTATAAATTGCCGCACGATAAGCCACCTTGTTGAGCTATCATTTGTGGCCAGGTCGCTTCTGTAAAAGAGCGAAACAGCTCAGTGGGTGTTACCTGGTAAAATAAAAATAGTTTAGTTTTAACAAAAAAATTATTGATGTTATTGTTATGTTTGTTTTTCCAGAGAAGCTTCAAATTATTTTCAAGAGGGTCCTGCCACGTTTACTCAACGGGGGTGATTTTGCGAGATGTGTAAATGCCAATTAGAGTAATTTTTGCAGGTACATTTTTTATCATTGGCTTGTTTGACCAATATCAGTTGCATTGTATGTTTCCTTTTTTTTAGCTAGAACCCAGAGGAAACCCATGCAGAATAGCGGGGAAAAAAAACATGCCAACTCTACACAGAAAGGCATCTGGAGTTGGGAATCAAACCAAGGCCCTTACTGCTGTGGGGCACGAGTGCTACGCGGGCTTCTTCGAATATATTCGCCAGCAGCCCACATAGCAAAATTGGCGTGTGCCGGCAAGCCACGTGGCGTTATGTTACGATATCACATTGCAACGCGGTGTCATAATGTCTGCCTCCAGCTCTCTCATCTATCTCCTGTTCATCTCCTGTTCATCTCGCTTTCATCTCACTCATTTGTATCTCGACAGGTTTGTCATCTCTTTTCCTGCAATAATGCTGCTCATAGTAATTTCGTCTGTTGTTTTATTGAATGCAGGCGCAACATGGAGGGGGGTGGGGGGGGGATAACACTCACAAAGTGCCACACGATATATATTTTTATTTTACCAGGTAAGGCTCACTGAGCTATTTAGCTCTTTTTTTTCCAAAAGCGACCTGGCCACATATGATAACACAACGAAGTGGCTTATCATGTGGAAATTTATAGCAGCCAAATACCCTAAACGCAAGTTTTTAAATGCGGAGGGAAAAACCAGAGGTCCGGGAGAAAAATCCATGCGACCACGGGGAAAGAGACACGCAAACTCCAAATATACAGGTGTTAGGGTCGGAATAAAACTCACGACCTTCTGCATACTGGTCAAGGGAGTTATCATCTTGCCACCGCGTGCCATGCTAATTACCATTCAAGAATACAGTTTCTTTACTGCCATCAACTGGCTACCTCGCAGCCTCGAAGGTATAGGAGTTTCACAAATCTCGTGTCTGATCCAGCAATCCTTACCTATAAAGCTGCAGATCACAGATGCGCACCACAAAACTCAGCAGTGTGTCTCTGCACGTGTGTGTGAGCGTGTATATCTGGCTAGTTTCGATCTCCCTACTCAAATTAATGACTTTTCTTGTGTTTTTTTTAACCTTCAGGACCTGATCGTGATACGCGATGCCTTTGACATCCTCCTACCAAAAGTGAGTCTTTTCTGTTTTGACACCCCTCGCACTACCTCCGTGTTTTGCATCGCTGCCACGTGATGCGCTGACGGGTTGTGTTTTTTGCACGTGTTGGGCGTGTGATGATCCATTTCCCTCCGTTGTCCCGGTTTTGAGTGCCTGGTGCGGTGTGCAAACATCAGCCCCTGGGGAGACAAAGTCGGCCCGGGCGTGATCCTAGCCGTACCACCTCGTTATGCGCCGTGTTGGCCTTAATGGCTGCTTGCTAAACAGTACTTGGTAAAACAATTAGTGTAGGTTGTACGGGGGATCTTTGTACATACTTGTGTAATTATTTATGTACGTATGTGTGTTCATCGGTGTGTGTGTGTGCGTGTGTGTGGGGAGCGGTAGTGTAGCGGTTAGCGCGCTGCGCTATGAACCTGGCGACCCGGGTTTGATTTCCGCTCGCGGCCAACACCAGTGACGATAATCTGAACCGGTCCCGGGCCTCCCCTAGGTCGACTCAGCCTCAAATGAGTACCTGGTGCTGTGGATAAAAACATTGCCACTGGGGAGACTAAGGCGGTCGGGCGTGGTGCTGGCCACCCACCCCCTCGTGTACCATTCCGGCCTTCATAGGTGCTCGCTAACAGCACTTGAACCTACAGTCTGTTAAGGCTATACGGGGGATCTTTGTGTGCGTGTGTGACCTGTCTGCTTCCTTCAGTTGGCACGTGTCATCGATCGTCTCAGTCGCTTCGCGGAGAAACATGCCGCATTGCCCACGCTGGGGTTTACGCATTTCCAGTGAGCATAGAACAGCCGGCACACACACGGCCTTGCACCCTCACAGCCTCACTCACCACAGCCTCTCTCACCCTCGGCTTCGCTCACCCACGGCCTCTCTCACCCCGGCTTTGCTCACTTTTAGCTTCGCTCACTCACAGCCTCACGCACCCACCGCCCCGCTTACCCACCGCCTCGCAAGCCCATGGCCTCGCTCACCCCACTCTCGCCCCTCGCTCACCCCCTCGCTCACCCCCTCGCTCACCCCCCCGCTCACCCCCCGCTCACCCCCCCGCTCACCCCCCCGCTCACCCCCCCGCTCACCCCCCCCGCTCACCCCCCCGCTCACCCCCCCGCTCACCCCCCCGCTCACCCGTCGCTCTCATCCCTCGCTCACCCCCGCGTGCGTACGCGCGCAGGCCTGCCCAGCTGACGACCGTGGGCAAGCGCTGCTGCCTGTGGCTGCAGGACCTGGTGAGCGACCTGCACAGTGTGGAGCGCATGCGGGGGGAGCTGCGCTTCCGCGGGGTGAAAGGCACGACGGGGACACAGGCCAGCTTCCTGCAGCTCTTCAACGGGGATCACGACAAGGTGGCGCCCCGCACTGGCCCAGCTTGGCCACGATCGCCCATTTGCTCGTTCGCTCAGCTTGACCGTTCGCTTACCTGTCCGTTCAGTCATTGTCTTCCCGGTTGCCCACACTTTTGTGATCGCCTTTCATCGTAATTGCGTTGTGTCGTGTTTGAAAAGCGGCGGACGAGTTTATAACTGTATAAGACTTCGAAGCAATTGTTTTTTTTACTGGGTAAGTCCTACTGAGTTAGTTCTTTTTCAGAAGCGATCTGCCCACAAATGATAGCTCAAAGAAGTGGCTTATCATGTGTAAATTGATCGCGGCCAAATACTCTTCACGCATGTTTCTAAATGTGGAGGAAAAAAACGGAGGATCCGGAGAAAAAATCCACACGACCACAGGAAGAGAGACATGCAAACTCCAAGTATGCAGGCGTCAGAGTCGGGATCGAACCCACGACTTTCTGTATACCAGGCGAGGTCGTTAATATTTCGCCACCCTTTAAGTTTAGTTTGGAGAGCCGCTCAATGGTGTCTGAACCCATAAGATGGATTATTCTCTACGTAGTAAATAACTGTTAAGTGCGCGATCCGGTTGGATGTATTGTGAGCATGAGAATGGACTTGGAGTTTGTGAATCATTGCTTGCCTAACGTCTATTATCTGATCGGGTGGTCCTGTGGTTCGATCACTTGGTCCACATTTGCTTGACATCATCGGCCGTCGCTTCAGGTGGAGAAGTTGGATGAGTTGGTTACCAAGTTGGCCGGATTTGACAAGTGAGTTCCTGCTGATTGATGTCAATTATGATGTTGCTATTGCTATTCTTGTTTTGACTTCTGTTGCTGCCACTCTTAACAATGCTGTCAACACGAATATTGGTGATAATAATGAACCCGATTGATGGGTGATGGATGAAGCTGCTGCTGATGCTGATGATAATTATGTCTTCTGTTGCTGCATGTGATGACAATGTAATTGTTGCTGACGACGATGCTACAAATGCTGCTGCCAATGATGATGCTGATTTTGATAATGCCGCCGCTGCTGCTAATAATACTTACTTAGTGCTGATTATTAAGACGTTGAGGGTGCTGCTTATAACAACGGTGATAATACTGCTTCTATTACTGCCTCTGGTAATGATGCTGTTAATGCTGCTGCTGCTGAAGAAGACGACGATGCTGATGATGGTCGTGCGACGATAGGGCACTGCTCATCACGGGGCAGACGTACAGCCGCAAGGTGGACGTGGACATCATGGCCACGCTGGCGAGCCTGGGCGCCTCTGTGCATAAGGTGACCTTTGTGGTGACCTTTGTGGTGACCTCTGCGGGGTCAACGTTGGGCGACCTCACTTAGCTCCGGGCACCCAGTGTGGGTAAATGCCATGTTGAAGTGACTTCTAAAGTAGTGATGTGGTGTAAAAAAACTTTTTTTATTTTACCAGGTAAAGCCCACTGAGCTATATAACTCTTTTTCAGAAGTGACCTGGACACAAATGATAGCTCAACGAAGTGGCGTTTCACGTGGAAATTTATAGCAGCCAAATACTCTAAACGCACGTTTCTAAATGTGGAGGGAAAACATGCAAACTCCAAATATAAGGCGTCAGGGTCGGGATTGAACCCACAACTGCTTTATACCAGGCCAGGGAGTTAACATCTCACCCACTGTATCTTCCAATGCTAGTCCATCTCATTAGCGCCTTCTAGCGCAGCACATGATGATGTCTGTGATCCATCAAAACCCCACCTGTCAATGCGATCACTTATCTCCACGCTGCTTCTCTTCTTCCCCCTCTTCCTTTTGAAAACGTGTTCACGCACACATTCACGCGCGCACGCACTCGCTCGTGCACCCTTTGCTCCTGGAGCCAGATTTGCACAGACATCCGCCTGTTGGCTCACCTCAAGGAGGTGGAGGAGCCATTTGAGAAGGATCAGATCGGTGAGTCTCGTGGCTTCATGTCGCCCGCGTCACACACACATCACGCACGCACGCACGCACATGGACATTTACGCGGTACACGAGTTCACCAGCAGTGACTGGCTGGCACAGAAGATTTATAATGGCCGCGTTGGAGACGCCGTTATGCTGGGTACTATGCCGGGTTTCGGCCACCCATTAAACCAGGTTCATGCATCCCCCTGTCTTCCCCCGCCCACCTGTCCCATGGTCCCATCTATCCAATATTTTCCTCTTCTCCTCCGCACTCCATACTCCCCTTGTCCTCCCTGTGTGCCCACATTTTTCTTTCTTCCCCTTTCTCACCTCTGCTTCCCCCCTGCTCCTCCCCCGCTGCTTCCACTCTGCTCCATCTTCGCTTCCTCCCTATGCGTACCCTCTGCTCCACTTCTGCTCCTCCCACTCTCCCCCGCTGCTCCCCTGCTGCTCCTCGGCTCCCTCTCTGCTCCCCCTCTGCTGTCCTTTTGCTCTTCCACTGCTCCCCTCTATCCCCCACCCCCTCTGCTCCTCTGCTTCTCCCCCACTCCCCCCCCCTTTTGCTCCCACCTTGCTCCCCCTCTGCTGCCCCCCTCTGCTGTCCTATTGCTCTCCTGTTCCCCTCTGTCCCCCCCCCCCCCTCTGCTCCCCCCACGGCTCCCTGTCTGCTCCCGTGGCTCTCCCCCTCTGCAGGCTCGAGCGCGATGGCGTACAAGCGGAACCCGATGCGGAGTGAGCGCTGCTGCAGCCTGGCACGCCACCTCATGACGCTCGTCATGGACCCCCTGCAGACGGCGTCCACGCAGTGGTTCGAGCGCACGCTCGACGATAGCGCCAACAGGTCGGGGCGGCTGCGGTCTGGTCAGGTCGGGTTGGCTGGGGTCATGTAATGATGTTGAGACTACTCGCAGTATTGGTATTGATGGTGATGATACTTGTATCGATTGTAATGATCACGATACCAGCAGTGATGATGATGATACAGGTAGCATTGATTCTGGAAGTGAATGATATTGGCAGTGATGATACAGGAAGTATTGATTCTTCTCAAAGTGATGATGTTACTGGCAGCGGTTATGATAACAATTCCTCTTCTTTTTTTTACGCTTATGATGTGCTGATTGGGATGATTATTACGACGATGATTCTGGTAGCGTAAATGATGATACTGGCAGTGGTTGTAAGGACGACGATGATGCCGGCGATGACGAGGTGCGAAGCCATGGCTCCTGCTGATAAGCTGCGTGGCCGCGTCTCCGCAGGCGGATCTGCATCCCGGAAGCGTTTCTCACCACCGACATCATCCTCAGCACGCTGCAGAACGTGGGCGAAGGGCTGGTGGTCTACCCCAAGGTGTGAGCGTGACTTTCGTATAGCGGCTTTTGGCTAACCTTAAAAAAGACTGTCACTACATCGCACCCTTTCAGATGCGCTTCTGTGGTCGTCTGGAATGCTCGTCCTTCCGATTATTAGGAAGCCACTGGTGCTATGCACTTTTAAATCTAGGTTGAAAACTCATTTCTTTAGAACTGCTTTTTTCTGTTTAGTTTGGTTTCCCTCCGATTAGCACAGTTGTCTATGTACGGTGCGAAAGAAGTTCAGCATACAGTGGAGCATCGGGCGGCTGAAACACAGCAAGTTGGCACAGTAGGGGGCATAGCTGGTGCATTTACCAGTCATCTCAGTCAGTCAACCCATGGTACCTGGGTTTGTCCCGTGACCTCCCATCAGCAAGCCTTCGACACTTCATGTGGTTTCAAAGTGCACCTAGCCTGACACAAGGACTGTGGTGACTGTCACCGCCACTTAGTGGCGAATGGTGGTTATGGTTGTTGTTGTGACTTCGTGAGTACGTGTGTACTCGGGAGCGGAAGTGTAGTGTTTCGCGCACAATGCCACGAACCCAGCAAGCTGTGTTCGGTTCCTGCTCATGGCTAACATTAATGGCTAATATCTGAACCGATCCTGGGCCTCCCCTAGGTTGATTCGGCCTTAAAAAATAGTACCTGGTGTGGCGTATAAACATCAGCACTGGGGAGAGAGGTTGGCAGGCTTGGTGATGGCCACACCACCCCCTCGTGTGCCGTTCCGGCCTTCATAGCTACTCGCTTAACAGCACTTGCCCCAACAGCCCGTTAAGGGTATATGGGGGATCTTTGTGTTGTGTGTCATTTTGTGAAAATGTGTGTATGCGTGGGAGTGGTGTTTTTGGTGTATTCACATACGCCCACGTGTGTGTGCCCGTGCGTGCGTGACTTCACTACCACATGACCTCGTGACCTTGTGACTTCGATCGCCTGAACAGGTAATCGAGCGCCACATCAAGCAGGAGTTGCCTTTCATGGCGACGGAAAATATCATCATGGCCATGGTGAAAGCGGGGGGCGACCGGCAGGTGAGTGGGGAGAGCAGGGTGGAGGGTGGCTGACGGATGAGCGAGAGTGAGGGTTGTGTGGTGAGAGGGAAGGGTGAGGGGTTGCGAGTTCAGAAGAGAGCGAGGAGGTGTGGGGTGAGAGGTGAGGGTTGAGAGGAGGTTGAAGGTGGGTGGTGGCAGGCGAAGGGTGCAGGTTGAGAGGTGAGGGGCAGGGTGAGAGGAGGGGGAGGAAGAGTGTGGATCATGGCGGGTGAGGGGTATGGTATGAGAGGGGAGGGTGAGAGAGTAGGGGGGGTAGGAGTTGGGCGCCCAGATCAGTGATGCAGTGATGCAGCTCACGAAGAGGAAATCGCTGAAACCTAACCCCATCCGAACTCCAACGCGAAACCGACCTGGGTTCGTCTCCCGCTGTGCTGGCCATTCGTTGACCTCTGCACAAACCCGCCTCCTTAATGACAGCATGGCCCAAAACACACGGTTGTTGTAACTACACAAATGTAATTACAATGAGGATTTATCTAGCATCTAAATGTGGCCGCATCTCAAAGCGCTGTACGGAAACGGCACAAGTCTATGGATCTCTTTGTGAATATGGGAGAGAGGGAGAGACACACACTCAGTTGGTCATAGGCAGAAGAAAAGAGGAAGGTGTTTAACCTGTACTTGAACAGGGGTAGGTAATTGACGGGACTAACTGCTGGGGGAAGAGAGTTCTAGACCATGGGGGGCAGTCGAGGAGAGTGAGCAAACCTCTTCCTTGGGCTGTGTGCCCTGGGCTGCCACGTAATATTTGTTAAATGACATTGCACATACTTGAAAGTAACTTTCAGGAGTGTCTGAACAGTTATGTGTAGCGTCCTAGTGATGTCGCTGTGATATCACTGACACGTGTTGTAAGTCCTATTTCTCTACAGCGGAGTTCCCAAACGTCGATTTACAGTTTTTTTTGTCGAATGTTACTCAAAATTGGTGTGGTACAGCCTGTGACGCACTGGCTTTGGTGTGTAGCTACAAGATAAGAGCTGTTGGGTCCTTGTGATTTGTAGCTATCGCAGTTGGCAGTCGTGCATTTACCAATAGATACAACTACCCCACTGACAAAAACAAACTGCCATTTAATAACAGCCATGCACTGTTTTTAGTAATTTTGGGGCACAGCAGATTGGGAGGGTAGTTTGAATGTTTCGGCTGAATTAAAGATTTATAGGCAGTGTAAGAGTCGAGAATACAAAGACAAAAATCCCCCTTATAGCCTTAACAGAGTTTTGGTGCAAGTGCTGTTAGCAAGCACCTAATGAAGGCAGGCACGGCACAAGACGGGGTGAGTGGCTAACACCTTTGTCTCCCCAGTGGCAAAGCTTATACAGTGCACCAGGTACTCATTTGAGACTGAGTCGATCTAGGAGAGGCCCAGGACGAGTTCAGATAATCGTCACTGGTGTTGGTGGCCATGAACAGGAAATGAACTCAGGTCGCTGGGTTCGTATTGCAGCGCGTTAACCACTGCGCCACCGCTCCCCACTCACAATATGGCTCTAGGGGAGCAGTAAGATGAACCCTTGAAGGATGACTCACTTCCCTGCCACGGCCACCGATGCCATCTCAGCCAATCAGTGACAGCTGTGTGGCACCTCCATCTTGTTCCCCCCCCCCCCCCCCCTGCTCAGTCAATGACTCCCCCCTAGCTACAACGCCTATGCCCTCCTCCGTCCTTCCCAGCCATGATACCAATGCCACCCGCATACAATGCCGCCCCTTGTAATGTTGACTGTAATGCAATGCAACCCCCACCCCAGCTATAAGAGTGCCGCCCCTCTACATCCCCGTCCCCCCACCGACCACCGCAGGAGTGCCACGAGCGGATCCGCGTGCTGTCCCAGGAGGCGGCCGCCGTCGTGAAGCAGGAGGGCGGCGACAACGACCTGGTGGAGCGCGTGCGCGCCGACGCGTACTTCTCCCCCGTGCACGAGCAGCTGCCCTCGCTGCTCGACCCCGCCACCTTCGTCGGCCGGGCCCCCCAGCAGGCATGGCCCCCTCCTCACCCTCAGAATCGGAATCCGTAAATTTGTTTATACTGGAGGAATTTGATGATGAATCCGATATCCAGTTGGATCCCTCCCCCCCCCCTCTACGCCCACCCCCATACATCACACCCAGTCACCCAATCCTACCCATCACTCTTTCACTGAGCATTGTAGCCCTCATCCAACAGTGGAGTGCTAGGGTTGTACATCTTATGTTGAGCGTCTGGTCGCCACAATATAGTTTTGTTGATTCGATGTTCCATTTCACAATGACGATTTACCCTGGTCCAAGTTCCCCTTTGTAATTTGTATTTTATACATTGTGATCTTATGCTGTGATGTACTTCACTTACCAATGTACATTTCTTAAAACGTATTCAACTTGCAGCAGTTGCACTCGGCATCATCCTGCCCAGAAGTCTTTGTAATTTGAAATCGCCACCTTCCGACTAAACTTTAAACAACTGACCACAGCGCCACCTGGCGCACACAGGGCATCATTGTCACAAACCTCAACCACACTTTCTGACCCTATTTCCCGCGGTCTCTGTGTGTGCAGGTTACCAAGTTTCTGCAGGTGGAGGTGCGCCCCCTGTTGCAAAAGTACAGCAGTCATCTGCAGGGCTCCGTGCAGCTCAGCCTGTGATGAGGCGGGGCGGGGGGGATTTGATGGGGCGACTGAACCCCTCTCAGACGTTCCTGCAATTAAATAGGGGGGGGGGGGGGGGTGGGGGCAATCCCTAGGGGCCCAACCCAGACTTCCCAATTTGGGGGGCCCAATCCCCTCACCTCTCTGCTGTCCTGTCCGCAAACCTGCATTCCCTGACGCTACCCAATGTCATGACTGGAAACCCCAAAGCATTTAATCTCTAACAAATAACCAGACTCTGCTCAGTGGTTATTTAGCTTGGTTTGTTAATTTCACAAAGTTGCCTTTTGCATCTGCCTGCTTGCCAGGTGTCCAGTGCTCCTGTTTGGTACTTTTGCTGACATTAATGATGTCGATGATGTTGATGACGCTGTGACATGTTAGCAAAGCTCCTGAGGTGATGCTAAAGTGGCCCGATGCCGCAGGATTGCATGCGAACGCTGTTTTTGGTGCGTTGTTTTTTTCTCACGTGAATTATTGAACGAGTTCTTTGTGAAAGAATAAAACAGACAAATGACATTATCTTGGATGGGTTTGGGAATGGTGAGAGATGGAAAGGTGTAATGAGTGGCTCGGCTGTTGAGCCTGCGGGCAGTGCAACAGCACCCGAGGCCCATGGTCCAAAAGAAACCAGGCGCCGGGCCTACGAAGAGAGGGGACATTGGACAGGGGGTGGCCCAATTTCCTTCCTTCGAACCAGGGCCCCTGCCAATCGTGCGCCGTCGCCGAGCATAATGGTTGTGAGCAAAGTCCGAGAGGTCATCACGGCCAAGGCTGTTGATGACATCGCACACCATCACTTGCTAGGTGCTGCTGTTCTTGCAGTCGATACCGGACTTTTCCCAAGGTCTGCTCTTATAATCTCACCACAGCCACCACGTGTTGTATGTATATTGAACTTCTTTCGCACTGTACGTAACCAACCGTGCCAATCGGATTTGCGGGGGAAGGACAACAAACAACTCTTTAGATCCCCCCCCTCGGTCACGGACCTCCGGCTGCCACTCAAATGCTCGTGTTTGTAACCTGCCCACGCGACGCATAGATCACGTCCACTCACCCGTCGCCTCAACACAGGCTCAACTCATGTCGGTGCTCGACTCGCAGACAAACTCTTGCCAAGTTCAAATCGAAGTTATCACAGTGGGAAGTCTGCTGTGGGCAGCTGACCTACGGATAGACTGGCCCCTGGAATGTGGGGTTTTACCTCTGGTACAGGACCACCGGCGAATAATGATTCAATGCCCCAATTCGTTTGAGAAGACCCACACTTTTATGAGACATGAAATTCTGAACTACCTGCACAGGGAAACAAATGAGAAGTAATATATGAAGTGCAAAAGTAAATCTAACACGCCTTAAAAAAAATATAATAGGCGACGTTTCGGGCAATTACTCTTCTGCACAGCACATAGCGAGGCAGTCAATTGACTCTATCGCGTTTCAGGCCTCTTGAGTATCTCTCTTCGCGGAAAACGGCGCCGTTGTCGAGACCCAATGCCACCCCCACCACGTTATGAACAGGAACATTTTATCTTCTTTGGTTCTTTCGGTAAAGTCACGTAGAATGAGAATAAAATAATAAATTAAATAAATTTTAGTGGGCGGTGGCTTTCACGTTGCCGGCAGTGACGTTTTCGCGTGGGCGGGGCGTCTCCGTGGTAACGTAAAGCCAACATGGCGGACGCCGGGCCTCCAGCGGTTACCATGGTGAGCGACCAAAAACTTCGCATCAAATTAAGCGACTTTACCGAAAGAACCAAGAATATAATGACAACATCAACGATATTACTGCCGATGGGAGCGTAACAATGTGTTAAACTGTAAAGCTTACCTGTCGCAACCCATACGGTTTACCCCGTATTCTTGTACAGGGAAATTTAGTTTTCAGGTCCACGCGACGTACAGCCGCTTCAATACGGGCAACATTTGTTTTTTTAATGTTTGTTTGTGTTTCTCCCTTGTGATGGTGACTTTGTTGGATGAACGTTGAGATTTATAAGGGGCACGGGGTGACCAGTAAGGTCTGAATTGGTTTAATTGGGTAGGGCACTGACAAGGGGTTGACGCGGGTATGGTAAAGCCGTTGTGTGCGGGGTTATTTTAGTTTTTATCGTTCTGAGGCGGTTTGAATTTAACGACACTGGTCGGTCAAACAGTTTCGCGATCCCGTTGGAAAGTTTAGTTTTTGTCGTTGTTAAAGTTCCACGGCAACCGTACTCGGGTGTTAGCTCGCTTCCTCGCTCGCTCGCTTTCAAGCGCTCCCGTCGACCGCCTTCTTGGACACATTCGCCGTGACCAGCGCACGATGCCCGTCGTGTTATAAAATTCATGTTAATGACGGCGCGGAGTCACGGTACGTGGCGTCACATACCCCGCAATGCCCACGGATCTCGTCGCATCTCGGAAGCGAAGCAAAGAGGGGGGAGGGGGGGGGTTGAGCCTGGATATGTCTCGAACGGAGTCGCCAATGGTGCGCGGCATGGTAGCCACTGACTGCTGTGGAACAACTGCGGCTTGGCGATGCACAAACGGGAGTTGTACAGCGCACCGTGCTTCGAAGCTCCCGCATACGGTGACCACCGCGATGACAAAGCCGAGGTGAAGTATGGTCAAATTAACCCCAATCTTCGAACCCGCACCGCAGGAGAGTGACCAAGACGCGTCCGAGGGTCAGAGCGGGGAGGGAGCGGTGATGGAGCCTCGGCAAGACCGAGGTGAAACGGACTCCACCGAACACGAAGCAGGTCGGACTGAAGTTCCAACATTTGTGTTTTTTTTACATTTTATAGATTTTATTTGACGAATCACTCTGGGTCCCTGCCGTAATGGTCCCTACCGAATCGGGTTGCCACCTGTCCTGGTGTTTCCCAGGACGTCGTCTTTTAGAGGTAGCTATTCTGAGATATATCTGTGAGGGGCGTAACATATCATAATCAGAATACAGGTAGTCCCCGACTTACGACGGAGATGCGTTACGACGGACCCCATCGTAAGTCGAAAATATCGTAAGTCGAAAATGGCCCTAGCCTACCCAGGAGTCTTAAAGAATGGTAATAATTTAGCAAAACAGAGCAATTTACAGTACCGTACTGTATAAACTATATACTGTATGTATTTATTAATTACAATACTGTATTGCACAGTAAAATTTAAAGTAAAAAACAAGGTAAATTCTTAGCCTACCTATATGAACTGCAATATCATAGAAAGTTTTTTCAGGAAACAATCCTATCTGCTATAAAAACTTTTAACATGCATTGAACGTATCGTATCGTGGTAACTCTATCATGAAATCGCTAAAGCTATGTATCATACATGCACTGAACGTATCGTAACGTATCATATTCTACTGTACTCACCAAGATTCTGTCCGTCGTCTGCATACTTGAACGTTGTTACGTTGTTGATGGCTACATTAACTTAGTTGTCGGAAGAGGAGGATGGCGATGATAAAGTTACAGTATCGTACCTCGTACGCTGCTGCGTTTGCCTGCTGCGCGAAATTAAAAATATTTTACAATTTTGTCATATCGCTATCGCCATCGTAAGATCGAAATATCATAAGTCGGGCCATCGTAAGTTGGGGACTACCTGTATTTATACTGGAGGAATCCGATGATCTATACAACTCTTTTTCACATAGATGTCATCATGGCTACAGTAGATAGCACTGGTGTCATTGTTGGGGGTTAAGGTTGCCACCTGTCCCTGTTTTTTTTAAGTAGCTCTCCTGCAACACTAAAAGCATAGGCGGAGTTTGACTTCTATATTTGGGGGGTGGGCAGGGGTTCGCTTTGTCCCTCACATTAGGAATAGAGGGTGCATAATATTAATTCAATAATTGCATTGTTTTTATCTTAATTGTAAACTACTGAAAATTTATTAATAAAGGGGTTGAACCTCCCCCCCCCGTTCCTCAACTCTGTCCATGATTAAAAGTCTCGTTTTTTTGTCAGTTGTGTAATACAGCACTGCACCACTCAAATCCGATGTATTTACACGTGAGCAGTTTTCAACTCTTCCGGTATCGTGATACGTTCTTACGTCGATATATCCCGGCGGAGGTGGCAACCCTCTTCACAAGACCACCCAGACGTGATGTTGCATGAGAGCCACTGTTACCTTACCTCATTTAAAGGTCTCTCTCACACAGCCACTGCAGTGGGTGGCTTGTTTTCTTTCACCCACTTTGTCACGCTCATTCTTAGAGACGAAGACCTGGGAAAGGGGGCAGTCGACCTGCATGACTTTGAAACCTGAGTGTCAGGCCCAGCACTGCTCACCAAAGCTGTAATAAGGTGTCCGTTGATGTGCGTAGACGTTTTAGACGCCCATCAAAGAACTTAAAATTGTTCATGTAGCTGTCAGAAGTCCTTGCATGAGCAACTTCCCACACGTTTACATAAAAGTAGCAATGATAATAATATGAATTTACCCAGAAAAGTCTCAATTTATTTCATGAAGGCCGTTGTTAATGATATTTAAGTGATAATTCTTTACACGTGCACGCAATCCCATTTTGATTCCTCCTTGCCCGTCCACGTTTAGACCCCGTGCCCTCAGACACAGCAGACAGCACAATTGGTGAGACGCGGGGCATGGAAGACACCGATGGGGCAATTGAGACGCCTGCAGAGGGGGACACCGATGGAGCCGAGACAGCGACAGCCAAAGACATCGAAGGGCCTGAGGCAGCGGCAGCTGGAGACACGGACAGGGATGCAGCTGAGACACCAGCAGAGACAGACACTGGCGGGGCAGAAGCGGCAGCTGACACGACGGCTGTCGCAGACGGTGACAGCAAAGGCGAAGAGGTTGCGCTGTTAAACAGCGGGCGCGAGGAGATGCTGGCAGTGGGAGAGACGGCCCCCACAGAGGCGTCGGCATCTGACGAGGTGGACGAGGGGGAAGCTCGGAATCCGGATGGAGCGGGCCCGGAAGTGATCGTGATGGAGGGGGAACGACTTTCCCCAGGTCCGGAACAGGAACCTGCACCTGGTGCTGAGGGTGATGGGTCACCAGTGGAGCTGCTCACGGAACAGCCTGACGGTTTGTTCAAATGCAGTCATGCTAAACCGTGGGTATTCGATCGCTGAAGGACCAGAATGTCGACCTAACCCATTATCGCAATCCCTGCCGGGTCAATAAAATGAGTACCACTTTCTGGGCATCAACATTGCTCATCTTATGGATAGACTGGCTGCTGCCATGGGAATATGGAATTTCCATCATTTTCTAAGGGCCACCAATGTTAATAAGCTCTCGCTAGCTCTTGTCTGTGGAGGAAGACACTTGAATTTATTTATTTTTATTCAGGAAAGCATCGCTGAGGCTCAAGGCTCATTTTCTTGAACTGCTTTCTGTGTTTCGTTTGTTGTCCTTCCCCCACACGTACGGTGTAAAATAAGTTTAACATACATATGTACATTCAATGAGGGTCCTGTTCGGGGTTCGGATACCTTTGAGGGCAAAACAACTCTCCTATGGTGATGCCCTGTCTCAAACCCACTTTCTGTCCTTCCTCCTACAGACATCACCTCATTTCCTGGAAAAAAAATGCTCTATATTAAGCTGTCACTGGAATATCTCCCTTTACACTTACTTTAACAATCACTCAAATATGGCACCTTGTCTGCAACACCACTGCCATTCACTGCAGCTAAAAGTAGGTCCGCCATTAAAATGTATGCAGTCTAAATATGGGACATTTCCTTTCAACACCACGTAGTTTAATGTTGCCTTCCCACTACAAAAATAAATAACTAGGACAACTGTTGAAAATCCCAAAAAGTTAAATTACATAACAATGGAAAACTGGGCTACTGAGATCGTGCATTGATGTGTTTCCGATGTTGGTTCCGCAATTGATGTTGGTACCAAGTATCCCTTTTGTGTTAGCACTGGTGAGTCTGGCAGTACCAGCTGGTTTGGTGAGAGAAGAGGGGGGGGGAGGATGACAACTGCTTTGAAAGGTCTCTAACGTTCTATAAATGTCTCCCCTTAAAGGTCAAGACAGCACAGAGAGAGCGGAGGGAGACTTGGCTGCGGCAGAGGTAAGCCCATAAAAACTCATGGGCCGCAGAGATTTATTTCCCCCCACTGCCCGGTGGACATTTCCATGCCGTGCGGTGGAAAACGAGGACGTCTGTTTGCGTGTGGCGTTGGCACGGAGTAACCGCTGGAATTAAAGTGCGGGGGATGATTTTTGCAAAACGCTTTTAGCCAACTCATTTAGAAATGCTGAAAATATATCAGATGAGCAGCATGGCTAGGTGAAGCAGCGCCATGCTGAGGCTTAATTTATCTAGCTGGGCGAGAGCCAATTAAAGCAAATGTGGGAAAGTCACATTTATATAAGGATACTTTGCAGTTTTCCTTTTGCCCGTGGGTGGTTAAGTGTGGAATTTGGACCTTGACACTGGTGGCACACAATGAGCTGCTCTTACAAATATATCCATGTACGGTTTGTAGTCAATCCACTGCAGGATGAGAGCCTCCCCACACCATGTGGGTCATGGAGGTTATTTTATTATACTTCATCATGCTGGTCAGTGAAGGCGGCAGCATATTTTGTTGTTTGGGAATACCCTGTATAATTATCAGCAACTACAGCGAGAATCTGTGCCGTCAGATAGCTGTCTCACAATCAGGTGGTCATGAGTTAAGCCCAGTTATGTTAGCAGCATCCCTCCAAGGTGGATAAAATGAATGCCACTTTATTGTAACTGAAGAGCCAATCTCTTATGGATAGACTGGCCCTCAACTTTAGAAATATGGAATTTCGACCACTGGCTTACTGCCACCAACAGAGGTTAGCATCACCTAATGCTCGTTTGAACAAGAAGACGGGTAGACTTTGACCTGTCATGGAAAATTAACTGTAGCCAATGCTCATTGAATGTTGAAATCACTCGAGCATAGTTCATTGTAAGTAGAATATGTAAGGTAATTTCCACTAGGCTTGTATTGATTCACTCCCCGACTGTGATTTGATGAATTGTTACAAGACAGGGCCACAATTCGATTCAATAAATACATTATTTGTTTTAATCTTCATTGTAGTACGTCCTATGCCCTGTCTGTCTTACTCATACAACCTCTGTTCTATAGTCACGTTTTTTTTTGTCTCTACTGTTTCTCTGTCTTTATACTCTTGTGCATTAAGATCATTATCCTGAACGGAAATTGTTTATAAAATATCCATGAATCGAGAGTAATGCATTCTTACCCGTATGATTGATGGGGGGAGGGGGGTGCGAGTCACGTCCATCAAAGAGATGGAGTGATAAAAAAAAAGATAATGTGCAGGTGCTAGGTGGATTATTACATCTCGGGATCATGAAAGGCGGCATGTGGGAGGCCTTAATCCAGCAGTGGATTGCCCATGGCTAATGATGATGATTCATTGTTGTGAGCATTGGAATTGATTTTAATCAATCAATCGTTGACTACTTGCCAGCATTGGCATCATTGGCGCCTGTTAGATTTGGTTATTTCTTGATGGATTTTCACCTGTGGTCCCTGCCGTTTCTCTACATTCAATTGAGCAGGCAGCGGAGGTGGCACAGGGAGATAGGACCCCCGCAACACCAACCATCATCGCGCCCGACGAGGAGTCTGAGCGGTCGATGGAGGAGCCCGTGTCACGGGAGCCAAGCGCTCACGATGGACGGGACTGCGTCAAGGCCGGGGGCGACGGAGCCATGGGTGGGTAGACTCTTGGGGACTCTTTGAGGAATTTGCTCATCCTAATCGCTCAGCCTCTTGAGCTGAGCTTGCATCGAGTGAAATATTCTAGTTAATGCTGCGGGTATAACCATAACATCTCGTGACGATGTTCAAACAATATTTAAAACATGGTGTGCAGGTGTCATCGTCCAAAATTGATTAATTACTTGCAAATCAATAAATAATTAATAGGAAAGCTACATAGCACCTTTTCTGCACTATGGAGGCGAGATGTTAACTACCTCGTCAGGTATACAGGAGGTCGTGGGTTCGATCCCGACCCTGACGCCTGTATATTTGGAGCTTGCATGTTCTCTCCATGCTCGCGTGGATTTTTATCCGGTTCCTCCAGTTTTCCCCTCCACATTTAGAATCAGTGTTTGGCCTCAATACATTTACACACGATAAGCCACTTCATTGGGCTATCATTTTTGGCCAGTTAGCTTCTGAAAAAGAGCTATACAGCTCAAGTGGGTCTTACGTGGTAAAATAACAAATATATACAGTTTATACTTTAATTCCCATTTGCAGGCCGGTGCTGCGTAATCCTCGTTAAAACAAGGACAGCTAGACTGCTGCGGGGCAATGGATTGCTTGAAATGAGACGTGATGTGAAGGCACTTTGAGTTGCTGAGGCATTATATACTCCCTATAAATGCACATGGATATCCTGATTAAGAAGCTGAAATAGAAGGAGCCACTTTCAGACATTATAGTTCTTTTTTTCCCCAACTTGTTTTTACTGTCAAGCAGTGGCTCGCGCAGTCACGACAGCCCTTGTCGGCGGTTTGTTGGGTTTCTGCCCAGTGCACTAGCCGCAGGAACCTAATGTGTGCTTGACAGTAGGTAATTTAGATGCAGTAGAGGAGCAGGACATGGAGAACACCGTGGAGGGTGAGATGGAGCCACAGATGAGTCATGAGGAGCTTCTGGAAAAATACCAGGTAAGGTGGAGGGGGAGAGTGACCTCACACTATATGCGCCGTTCCTTCAACACTACCTCTGCCCACTCACCTACTCACTCATTTACTCACTCACTCCATTATCTTTCCCTCTCTCTCACACTCTCCTCCATCACTCATGAACACACTACTCCCTGCACCTCACCCGTCCATCTCCTCTCCCTCTCTCACACCCTCTTTTTTCCCCCTATCCTCTTTCACTCACACACTCCTGCCCATGTCTCCCCCCACCCACCTCTCACCCCCACACCTCTTCGTCCGATTCATGTCCCCCCTTACCTCACACTTCCTCCTCTCCTTTCCTCTCCTCCGTTCTGCCGACCCCTCGCGGCGCAGGCTCTGCATGAGACCCACGAGAAGCTACTGAGGCGGAATGGGCAGCTGCAGCACAAGCTCGCTGATTACTTTCGCCGCAAAAAGGGCGAGGACGGACGAGTGGAAGTGGAGCGCGGAGGCCTCGACCAGGAGCAGAAGTATCTCAAGTACATGGGTGAGGGTCGGCCCAGTGGACTCATTGAACTGGTGGGATAGTGCCCTCCCCGTGGAGTTGTGGTGTTGGGGCCTCCTAGAAGAGTTGCCTGGTGGTCAAGTGGCAAGGGGGCCTGGTGGGCTAATTGGCCAGATGGCTTAATGGGCTGGTCAAGTGTTGGTCTAGTGCAGGGGTCGGCAAACTGCGGCTCCAGAGCTGTATGCGGCTCTTTCAAGACTGCTTCGTTTTTTTATTTATTAAGGACCGTCTCGTATTCACATGCATTGCGGCTCTTTTAATACTGAGTTATTTTGGTTGCCGACCCCTGGCCTAGTGGGATAGAGGCCCAATAACAAAGTAGTCTGGTGGAGGGTTGGCAACAAGGAATGGTGGCGTGGTGACTCAGGGGTTAGTAACCCAGTGACCGAGTGGCTTGGTCGTTTCTTGGCCTGGTGGAGTGGTGGCCCGAGAGTGGCCCTAGTGGCTGGACACACCAGGAATCCTGGTCAAGAGGCTGTGATATTATGAGTTCACATCCTGGCCAGGGTCAACCCAGCCACTATCATCATCATTGCAATAATAATCATCATCATCTTCATCACCACAACCATCGCTATGGTCATTGTCATCATTATTATTTGAGGAGGTAACACTCAAAAAAAATCTTCCACATTCATGTCCATACCCTATTTTTAAACCTACTTTTAGTTCTGCCCATCTTCTGGCCGCCAATCCTGCCACAAGCTGCGGGGTGTAGAGCAACGTACGGCGTTAGAATGTACACCATCAATCCGCGCCGAACCATGCCACGCTGGTCGCCTTTCCCTGCTGCGCTCATTCATGCTGCCCGCCTCCCGCCACCCTACCCCACTCTCCACCATCTTTTTTCCAGTGGCCATAGAGGATGTGCGCCGCCAGGAGCAGCAGCAGCGGCTGGCGCTGGAGCGGCAGGTGGCCGACCTGTCCGCACGGCAGCAGCAGCAGCAGGAGTGCGTGGAGGCCGAGTGGCGGGCGTTGGCAGCCTGCAAGCGGCAAGCGGTGCTGGCAGCAATCAGGACTCGCATTGGGAGGCACGTGTCCAAAGAGGTAGCGGCCGGCAGTCACAGGCTTACACAGGGACGCGGGGGACGTGGGGACGCGGGCATAAAGCAACACGGGGATTCCTGTCCAGAGGTGTTGTTGACCTATTGTGGGCCTGAAGCGGAAATTATTTTTGGAAGCCTCCCCCACCCCTTTCCCACCATCTTTTAATGTATAAACTCCTAATGAGAAGACCAAAGAGACTATATGGAGAAAAACAGATAGGCATGTAGCAAGATAAGAGGAATGTGGACAGACGATAGAGATGTAATGGTCTCAGAGGAGACAGATACCAATGAGATGGAAATGTAGTAAAATTATAGAGAAATACAGTTAGAGTGAGATTGGCTTGTTTGCTCATATTTAAATGAATTGGCTGTTTATGTTTATTAGGATCTGATTTCGAGCTGATATTTGGTGCATCACTACTTGTTTCATGAATCCGGGGGCCCTTTAGCTATATGGGGTCTTACACTATTTCTTAGTCTGCTTATGTCGAGTGCTACCACTGTCCCAGCCACTCGCCCAGCCTAATGGTTCATTGAGCATTATCAGATATGGACGTAACGATCCCCCCCATCTCTTGGATCACAACTTTATTCACAAATTGATTAGTGTCTTGTCCCTGTGGTGCATGTACATAAGTCTGTAGTGGTGCTAAATGACGATGAGGAAGCGGTCAGTTGCCTTACAAAAATGTAGGTCCATCAGCTCAAAGGCCTTTCATAATACAATCATTTTTTTTAAGCAGCAGTAAACGAAGAAAGCAGCAATTGCCTCAAGTCACTTAAAAAAGTACATCTGATGGAAATGTTCAGATGAGAAAACTTCCCACCTTCATAAGCTAGAAGGGCCGTTGCTCAAAACATCAGCCTGTTACATATTGTTTTGTTACTAAACCGACAGTTTAAATGTCGTATTTGCCCAGCAAGCGTGATACATTAGACACTCCGTACATTGTATCATCGGCGTAACGAAATTATGGTCGTCGAATGCACACTCCTGTCTTTCTCTGATGATCTTTTTGTTTTATTTTATTCATTCTACACAATATGCAGTACAGCTGTAAATTATATTGAGCACAACTTTTGAGGAAGCAAACAGTGATGATTCTGTTCGAAAACCGGTCCCTTCTCAGGACCGCTTGGGAGCTTTTGGTATTTATGATAAGGTACGATTCACAGCATAGCCATCTAGATCATGATCTTCATCACCAGATGTGTATGCTATTAATATATAATAGACGATGTTTTGGGTGATGGCTCTTCTTCATAGCACATGGTGGGCCACATGAAGGGCCAAGTGCGAAGAGGGCGGATGTCGGGATGAATTTATTAAATGTCTAACCTGGAGGAAGTAACAATGAGCATACTCATCGGCTTTCACATAGTGGTGCAATGGCACAGTGATTACCACACTGTGGTGTTAACCCAGTGGTTAACTACGTATGTATGTATGTTGAACTTCTTTTGCAGCGTATGTAGCCAACCGTGCTAGTCGGAGGTGCAGATAATAATGAATTATGTCATCAAATTGGACCCAGGTGTGCTGAGTTCGGGCTTTAGTGGAGTTTTTTGTACCCCCTCTTTTTTTATGCAGTTTATGTCTTGTACCAGGCACTTCTTGTGTTGCAAAAAATCGAAAAACGATGGGACGGAGAGCACTCTCTCTTCCAGGAGCTGAAGCAGATGGAGCAGAGTGAGGAGCGCAAGGAGGAGGAGGTGGCGCACGTGCGTCTGCAGAACATCAAGCTGAAGAACCGGTTGAGGAAGCAGGAGCAGATGCTGCGGTCCCGTGAGGAGCTGGGCGAGGGGCTGCACCTCATCGACTTTGAGCAGCTCAAGATCGAGAACCAGACCTACAATGAGAAGGTGGAGGAGCGCAACGAGGTGAGGGGCAGGGGGGGAGGTGGGGGCCAGCCGCGAGAGCAAATGCCCGCGGTCGGTTAAGCTTCAGTGGCGTTCGGACAGCTAAATCACTAAACACAGTGAGGCCTCGGTTAACACATCGTGTTCACAACGCATGTTTGCTACAACGCTGGCACAACGCGTAACACCTGCACTGTTATAACGTGGATTGCGCACCGTTATAATGCGGTTTCTGAGTAGTCAACAAACTACTTTCTTGATCTGCGTGGCTGAGTGGTACGATACGGTACACGGAATGATACAGTAACGCGACGGCACACTCTCAGTTATTTTTCCCGCTATCTCACTGTGTACTCGCACTATATTGCATCTCGCCAAACTTTATCGTTACATTATTTATGGTTTTTCGCTTCACGCGGCACTTTTCAGGAACGCATCTACCGTATTAAACGAGGACCTTACGGTATTGTAATCGACTTTCTTTGCGGTTGCTTACTTGGGCCCTGTTAATCATTGCCGGCTAACTGGACATTCGACCTCCCGAAGTTGGGAAACCCTCTAAAGAACACGCCCGACGTGTCACCCAGCCCCACCCATCAGCTCCCTTCCAGTGACACACGCGGAACGGCTGATAATCTTATTTTTGCCAACTGTTAACGTTTTATCAGATTACTTGAGTAATCGCACTGATGATCAGTTACTTAAATAATTAGGTGACACAACTCTAGTTGTTGGTAATGCATTTAACTTTTTTCTGGTGCCTCTTCCTCGCACATTATGTTTTACTGTTTTTTGTTTCAATTTGCTTGTGTGTCTCTCTGTTTGCCTCTGTGTGAGTCTCTCTCTGCTTGTGTGTCTGTCTCTGTGTCTCCGTGTCTATGTTTTGTCTCTCTCTCAAATTTAGCAATCTTTGGAAGAACGTAATCAACCAGGTGGGGTGTTTACTGTTTTGTTGGCTGACTCTCTGTGTTGTATTGCATTATATTTCCAACTTTACAATTTTGTTTTCTCTTTCATTTGTACCTGATGATGGTTGCTTGTGTTGCAATCGAAACGTCGTATTCTATTATTATTTAATTTCTTTCTACGTGACTTTTCCGAAAGAACCAAAGAGTAATTCCTGCAGTCACGAAAGCTTCGAATCTAGTTAGAATTTTTTTGTTCATTAATTTTACCGTATGGCGCTCTGAAGCCCTTAGGTGGGTCTGCTGCATCTCATATAATCATAAATAATATTATACGTTTTGTTCACGCGCACATTCAGGCGACCACGTGAATTTTGGTGGCTCAGCTCAGCGGTGGCAAACGTTCCACAAAAAAACATCAGCAGTTCCTGATGAACTGAAGAACTGCATTGTATGTATGTTGAAATTATTTCTCACCGTACATAGCCAACTGTGCTCGTCAAAGAGCATAGACCATCACGCAAACTCTGGTCATCCTCGCAGCAGATTTTGGCTAACCATCGATCAAAGACAGTCACTGCATCACGCACTTTCAGATGCGCTTGTGCTGCTATCTGGAACGCTCTTCCTTCCAACATTAGGAAGCCACTGGAGCTATGGACTTTTAAATCCTCTACATTGAAAGCTCATTTATTTAGAACTGCTTTTTGTGTTTAGTTTGTTGTCCTTCCCCCGTACCTCCGATTAGCATGGTTGTCTACGTACGGTGCGAAAGAAGTTCAACATACACACAATGTGCTAATTGTTGTCCACAGGAGCTGCTGAAGCTCAGGAGGAAGATCACGTGCACCGTGCACATGCTCACGCATGTCAAGGAGAAGCTGCAGTTCGTGCAGGTCGAGAACGAGGAGCAGAGGGCAGCTCTCGCCTCTGTCGAGGTCCACGTGGCGCAGGTGCGCTCGGGTGAAGAAACGGCGTTGTGCCGGCCATTGTGAACCGGGCCTGTATCGCAGCGACCAGCCATTGCGATTTGATGGGGTCACTCTCCCTTTTCTTTTTTGTTTTGCTGCTTTCTCCCCCCGTTGCACAGTCTATTCTCCTGTAACGCAGTAGTTGCATTCTGGAAGAACGCATTATGGAAAAATCGCGTTATAATAAATAATATACAATATAGGGTGAAGCACAGTCCGCAATAGTACGTGAGATGCGTATGCAGGATGAGCAAAGACTGAGGCACATGGGTAGCATCTAGAAGCATCCAGCATCCCGAATTGTGTGATGCTATGCCGAGGCAGCCGTACAACTGTTTATTCCTACTCGTGCGACGTAGTTCTGGTCACTCAATCGCGTTATATCCAATTCGCATATGCGTTATAAAAAAATGTGTTCCCTAATACATTCATCGCGTTATATCCAATTCGCTTAATAAAAAAACATGCAGCGTTATAGGAGAACAGACTGTATTCCAATTGTGCCGTCGGCATCTTGGTGGCATGAAGTGCAGGAATCTGCGTTTGTTGAAAACTCTCACATTGAGCCGTGTGACCGTCACCTTGAGTCGGGGAACAACCCCAGAAGATGACATTGCGTGACTACTTCAGAAGGTTCTTCAATAGCCTCTTGTATCCAGGCTAGGCTTACACCTACCCCTCTGTTTCCCCAGCCACTTGCAATGAAGCGCAAACTTTATAAGTGTGGGTGGGAGCATACGAATCAAACCCAAGGTCTCAGTGGTGCCTGCTCATTATCTCTGACGTGGCCATTGTGAAGCCTCTAAGCGAGAGAGAGAGAGAGTCACCCAGCCAAGTTTTAGCAAATTACTGCTCCGATTAGCACGGTTGGCTCCATACGGTTGCGAAAGAAGTTCAACATACATACGTACATGTTGCTTGAACCCAGAAACTGAATCATTCTAGCTGAATGTCTCCAAAACAGTGGTTATCAACCTAATGAGAGAGAAACACACACCCAGCTTCATGGCTTAATATTTTAATCTGAATGGTGCTAGCTCAGTGTCACCAAAATTATAATTATGAGCCCACTGAGACTTTCCATCACTTATTATTCTATTTTAGGTATGGTTTAAGTAGATGTTGGTAACATAAAACCAGTGAAGCAAAACAAAATCCATTTCTCTATTGTACTTCTATGCATCCACGTATATATTCACCGTCTTCAGAAAACCCGCACTGACCAGCGTGGTGAAGTATGGTCAAATGATCCCGACGAAGTGGAGAGGCTGTCATCCAGCAGTGGATTGGCGGAAGGGTTGTACATGGAAGTAGCTGCAGTTGAATTGTGAATCGGCTTCACCTGCACGGTCCAGACGGTGGTGCTGTTTCCCAGAAATGTCTGCAGCCTGGCACCATCTCCACTATTGGTTGTCTGTCCATCTGTTTAGTTGTGTGCCTCTATTTGTGTTTCTTGGTCCACTTGTCCACTGCCTTTCTACGAGTCTGTTTCTCTGTTTTCTGGCTGTCTGATTGTCTTTGTTTGGCTATCTGTCTGTGTCTATATTGACCTTTTCTTTTGCCTCTCCAGCTGTCTCTCTTTCTATACAGATGTTCTTTCATTTTATTTTTTGTCTGTTTGCATGTCTTCATCCACAACTGTCATTGTACATCAATGTATGTTTTTATTTGGTTTTGTATTTTTTTTGTCACGTGTGTTCACCAACCCCCCCCCCCCCGTGTGTCTGTCTACATCTCTGTGTGTTTGGCTCTCTAACTTCATTTCTTTAAGTCCATGTGCCCATGATCCATTTGTTTGCATTAATCATCCCCGTCCGTCCAACACTAGCCCTAGAACCCTACATCTCATCCCACAATAACCATCTCTTTCCCCTCACCCATTTTCCCTCCCTCATCTCTGTCACCCATCAATCGCCTCTCTCCCATCACTCCCAACTCTCCTCTCTCTTCCTCTACACCACCGCCCCCCTCCCCCCCCCCCCTACCTTGGCCACCAGAGACGAGACGCCCTCACGAGAACCAAGCAGGCCCGGGACGCCCTGCGCACCGACAACATCCGCCTGCGCCGCCGTGCGGGGCTGCTGGGGAGCCCCCAGCTGCTGCGTGACCTCGAGGTGGCGGTGGACGGCGCCGAGCGGCTGCGTGGGCGCCTGCAGGAGCTGCGCGCGCGACACGCCGAGCTGGCGCTGGCCGCGCGGGGCGTGCGCGCCAAGGTCGAGCAGGCCCGGGCCGTAGCGGCCACCGGTGCCAGCGCCCGTAGAGGAGGAGGAGGAGGAGGAGCACTAGTGAGCACGTACGGCGCCGGCGCCCTCGCGTGAAGCCCACTGGTGCTCGGCGGCAACCAGCAGGGGTTTAGCGAAGGTGCTGCCTGCGTTCGTTGTGATGGTAGTTCACTCCATCGGATGGATTGCGATACAGAGACAGTGATAGGGATATACGTGTTTGATATAGTTGCGTGAGTTTGACCAAGTAAGTGCTGTCTCTTTGATTACGATTGATAGGATGGATACAAAAAAATTTCCGAAAAATATAACCTACTCACAAAGAAGGTTTTTTTTTTAAATGTCCGTGATATATATTTTTTGGAACAAACACATTTACAGTAACAACAACACTACCTTTATATACCTTTCGGGAAGAAGACCTCAGAAAGTGTGTGAAAGAATAAACAGGAGAAAGCAGCTGCAGGTGACGAAGTTTGTCCAATCACAGATTTATTCAAAGCTACTGGGAAAAAAACACAGTGCGTACAGTGGGTTTGCGAAGAGAAAATTCAGTTTCTCAAATGGGAAGTTATGCAACGTGAATACAAACAGGGCTATTTTGACTTCAATCAGCTATTCTCTCCTCCATAATGGAAACCCAGTGACGTTCCCTGAGAGCAGTGTTCTTCACTAATTTCCAGGGGGGGCGGTCGCTTTTGTTGATAAGACATCAGTTGTGAGGGCCGTCACACTGCCTGCAAGGGGTGTTTTCACATGTTGTGTGTTGTCGTGGGGGCCGTACATCAGGGACTGCACTAAAGGCACCAGGGGCTGCCAGTGGCCTGCAGGCCCTGCAATGAAGAACACTGCCTTCGAGCTCATGAGCCAAAGGGGTTGGCTAGCATCACCTGGGATTGCAAAGGTTACATGTATCTACCATTATATACGCACTTATTTTTATTGTTTTATTGCAATGCTTGCGGACTTTTGCCCCTTCTGCGCAACTCACACCCACGTCGCAGTGGCGTTTCAACATCACCTGACAATGTAGATTCGCCTTGAGTGATTTTTGCTCTCTGAAGTAGTACCAAATAAATCAATGCACATGGTAATGGTTAGTTTTAGGGCTAGTGTTTGGATTTACGGGTGGGTTAGTATAAGGTCTAGTGAAAGATTATAGCGAGAGTCAACATGAGGGATAATGGTAGTATTAGCGTTAGAATTTGGGTTAGATTTCACATGTAGTAAAGTTGAAGTGACGTTGGGCCTATACATGGTCATTGGTCGTGTCTTGCTTGAGATCCTACGGGAAGTGGTTTTAGTTTCACATGCAGCTTTTACAGATGTCACTCTGAAGTCTCGTGAAAATGAGTCTCGTGTATAGAAATCAGTTTAGAAATTATATCTAGAGCCGTCCTTGTGGTACGGCGATTCGGGCGGATTGCCCTGGGCCCCGCATTTTGGGGGCCCCCATGCTTCTGGTTTAGTTTGAAGGCGTCGCAGGTCCCACAGAGTGTTTTGCCCTGGGCCCCGCACCTCCCATATGGACGGCCCTGATGATATCCGTTCACTTCCATTGAGAACCATTCCCAAACATGAAAACGGTCATGCCCTAGTGTGTTCTGAGTTCGTAAAGCAAAAGTTAGAGAAAGGAGAGGAAGAGAAAGACTGAAGATAACATGGAAGTATAACATTAACAGGGACATGACAGGAGCTGAGGTGACAAGAGATCGGGGATGGGGGGAGGGACTACGGGAGACCTTCGACAGATAGATAGAGGGAAACTTGGCTGGCTGACCCCATAGCATCGTGGAAACTGGCCATAAAAATTTCTATCGCGATTCATGATTGGTTTCCTTTTGGTTATATTACGTATGTATAAGGTCAATTCGAGAGCTATGCACCCTCCACCACCTGACAAAGCCAAAGACACGAAGCTGTTTTTCAGCAAAACCGGTTATGTTGAAAAGCAAGCAATTTTGTTTACAATTGTATACGACGTTTCACTGGTTATTACACCCAGCACCAGTAGGTGTGAGCCAGAGCTCAGATCTCTCGTGAGGTCTGAGATTCCTGCAGCGTCAGTAAAATGAGAAGCACCACTGTCATCTTACATAGAGCCTGGCACACACCATAGCAATGTAGAACATTTCCACCAATGCCTCAGAACCCCCGGCATAGTTAAAACAACCAACAGATGCGGACACTATGACAAGACTGACCTCTGACTTTGCATAGGCACCCAGAGGTCGGTGAATAAGGGGAAAGATACCCCTGTAAGAGCTGACCTTGGAGGTCAACCGTCAACTGAATTTCATCTCGAAGACGCTGGGTCGCACTTAACTGTGTTAGAACTACACGTGGGAGGTGCGGCTTTCCTCAATTATTGGGGAATTAAGTAGTCGCCTAACTTTGGCAGTGGCGAAGTACAAGCAATTACTCGCATGCCCAATCATTGCCCAATTAAATGATTTTGCAGGAGGTACAAATGGAATCATCCATATGGTGACCACAAATGCCATCGAAGAGCTTTTCCGAACTCAACCTGCAGTCATGAAATTCGTCCTATGCTTTTCAAATACCACATGAAAGAAAATGTTTAACTTTTCAAAAACTGCGAGATCTAGCAGAGGGAAGGAATTGACAGCTAGCTGTAGTGGCATCAACGGATATTGCTGGTGGTGCTGACGTCTCATTTTTAGTTAACTTGAGTGGCTTAGGCAACCGAAATCCTGCGTCTCCTTCATTACTTAATAGCTCCCCTATGAGCTTGGTAGATATTCCACGTTCCTTTAGTAGGTGCCAGGCTCTCTATATAATGACCTCAATTAAAATGTCATAGGGTGCAAAGTGTAGCTTTGTAGAAACAAAAATATCTGCGACTTGTAGGAGGTAAACATGGCCCTGGATGAAAATCGGAGCGCAGTATTCTCCCAGGGTCTCAAGTCTGTTGTCAACCTCGAGTAAATATTTTGCAGTGAAGGAATCTGAGCTCTTGACGTTAAGTAACCCCTGCTGATTGACTGTGTTGGCCATGTCTTGGTGAGTGGCCCTTATTTCCTGAGTGCCCTCTCATCGTATTTCCAGTCGTCGTGTTGGGGCACGATAACAAGTTTTCAACAAAGTAGGTTACCCGTCTGTCCATCACGTATCGGATTTTCAACGTCTCCCCACATGTGAAGGGTTTTTCCATGCACCATGGTTTCTCTCTGTGCAAGAACAAATATATACCAATAAGGGAATTGAATAAACACCCTGAGCAGGGCCCTCCTAAAAATAGTGTTGAGACTCGGCAAGTCCTTGCTAAATAAAGAACTGGCACTGTATTATAGTGTCAACTCGGGTGGTGGTGCTGCTGTGGTCAGAGCATTGAGCTCACAAGTGGATTGTCGCAAGTTCAATTCCTGGTAAGAGAGTCACTTAGTGCACCATCGTAACCCGCAAAGCACAAGCAAACTAAGCAAACGCTCGGGGCCCCTAGCAGTTAAAGGGGCCCTGGATTAGAAAAAAGAATAGTGGTGAACCACATATCAGCTGGAATTTAGATCCTAATAAAATCGAATAAAAAAAACCAGCCAATTAATATTGCATCTCTATCGTGTCAGTACCTTCGATCGTCGCATGCCATGTTTGGCTCTTTATCTGCACCCCTCAGTAAACTAACATCTCTGTCTCCTGTCGCCTCACAATTTATAGAGAAGGCCGGCCCCTCAAAATAACTTCTGCTTAGCCTCCCCCTACAGGGAACCAGGACCGCCACTGATCATATTTCTAAATGATTGTAGGTATACTGTCTCTCAGTGTCTTTACCAATATCCATGTCTATATTTGCATCTTTTATGGCTACATCTCAGTGTATCTCCTTACATATATATTTGACTGTCCCTTCATGTCTCTATATTTGCATCTCTCCGTGCATTATTGTGTCTCTGTGTGTCTCTCTGTCTTTGTATCGATGTCTTTAGCTCCGTGTTGATGTGTGTGTGTATGGATCTCTCCATGTCCCTGTGGATTTCTGCGCTACTCTGTTTATGTCTCCCAGCAGCGTGCCAGTTTGTCCGTGTATCTCATCGTGTCTCTCCGTGCATGTGTATCTCCTCGTGTCTACAGCCACTGTCTCTCAAGATCCCCCCACTTCGTGGTGGGAGACATAGCAGTGGGTGGGGGGTAGGAGTCCCCCCCCCCACCCACTATCACCCCCCCCCCCCCACTATCACCCCTTCACACCCCCCCCTGAACCAGCTCCCCAGCCCCGCCCCTCAGTGACGTCACCTCGGCGCGTGGCCCCCGGGAGGAGTGGCGTGCGGAGGCCGGAGACATCAACACCCCGTCGGCAACAAGACCACGGAACGACAATATAATAATTATAACCAAACAATCCACCAATAGTACCGTCACGCATACAATCAACAGCATCAGCAGTAACGTCACAGACACAATTTGCACCGTCACCGATAACGCCATCACTATTGTCGTTGGTTACCATCGATACGGAAAGCATCGCCGACACCATCAATTCCGTTGCAAAATACAGTAGCAACGGTATCACCAGCGCCTTAAATAACACTGCCATTACATCACCTTACCGATAACGGCTAATCGCTAACGTCGACTATCATCGCGACACGGGAGTAATATTAACAACAGACACGACCATCAGTAATCGGTGTCTGCCACAGGCACCGTTTTACACGACCATCGTCACCAACCACAACAACAAACACCACCACCATCATCATCACGGACATCATCCGTATCCGGGACGTGTGGCTGCGTGAACATTGCGCTGTGGGGGTGACGACGAGGAGGAGGAGGAGTACTCGAGAGGATTTGATCGCTGAGGAGTGGACGAGCTGAAGGAAGTGCGACTCGGTAAGAGGTGAAGAAGGAGTTGACAACCAGCGGCGGAAGAGTGACGAGGTGAGAGTCTCGGCCATTTGGTGCTGAGGGGAGAAGGATGATGTTGGTGAGAGGGAGAGAGAGGCGCGAGTGGGTTTCAGTTACACGCGATGATGTTGTTCACCGCGAGTGGGTTTTTTTTTGTATGTTACGCAGCACGGTGGTGATGTCATCATCACCATCATCATCATCGTCACCCACATCACCGCCACCGTCATCATCACCACCGCCACCATCATCACCGTCACCCACATCACTGTCATCATCACCACCGCCACCACCATCATCACCATCATCATCACCGCCACCACCATCATCGTCACCATCATCACCACCATCATCACAGCCACCATCATCACCGTCACCCACATCACTATCATCATCACCACCGCCACCACCATCATCACCATCACCACCATCATCACCGCCACCATCATCACCGTCACCCACATCACTGTCATCATCATCATCACCACCGCCACCACCATCATCATCACCATCATCACCACTTCATCACCGCCACCACCACCGCCACCACCATCATCATCACCATCATCATCACCACCGCCACCACCGTCATCACCATCACCACCATCATCATCACCGCCACCATCATCACCGTCACCCACATCACTGTCATCATCATCACCACCGCCACCACCATCACCATCACCACCATCACCACCATCATCATCACCGCCAGCACCATCATCACCGCCAGCACCATCATCACCACCATCATCATCACCGCCAGCACCATCATCACCGCCAGCACCATCATCATCACCGCCAGCACCATCATCGTCACCAGCATCAGCACCACCACCGTCATCATCGCCGCTGTCACGGGTCGAGGTAACGGAGCCGCCAGGCCTCGTTCACTCCGGTTAGCCGGCCTTGCCCCTTCACTGCACGGCCTTGTACAACATTGACACAGCAATGCCCTTCACTGCATAGACAGCCTTGCCCTTCCATGCACAGCCTTGCCCTGTACGGCATAGACACCTCCTTGTGCTGTACTGCGTTAACACAGTAATGCCCTTCACTGCCCGGACACAGCCTTGCCCTTCTCTGCACAGCCTTGCCCTGTACAACATTGACACAACAATGCCCTTCACTGCATAGACAGCCTTGCCCTGTACAACATTGACACAGTAATGCCCTTCACTGCATAGACAGCCTTGCCCTTCCCTGCACAGCCTTGCCCTGTACAACATTGACACAATAATGCCCTTCACTGCATATACACAGTCTTGCTTTTTCCTGCACAGCCTTGCCCTGTACTGCATTAACACAGCAATGCCCTTCACGGCATAGACACAACCTTGCCCTTCCATGCGCAGCATTGCCCTGTACGGCATAGACACCTCCTTGTGCTGTACCGCATTAACACAGTAATGCCCTTCACTGCCCGGACACAACCTTTCCCTGTACGGTATAGACACAACCTTGTGCTGTCCTGCATTGACACAGCCTTGCCCTGTACGGTATATACGTAGTAATGCCCTTCACTGCATAGACACAGTAGAGTCATTCACTGTATATACACTGTAATGCCCTTCACTGCATAGACAGTCTTGTCTGTAATGCAGCCTTTCCCTGTTCTGCTAAGACAAAGCATTTTCCTCTACTGTAGCATTACCAAATACTGCATTAATACAGCCTTGCCCTTCACTGCATTGAAATGTGCTATTTACTGCATAGACATACCCTCGACTGCACGAACCACCTCCATGCCTTTTACATCACGGCCATGCCCTTCACCCTCGTGCTTTACTGCCTTTATCTACCTTGTTGATACGGAAATGCCCCCCCCCCCTACTGAACGGGGGTCGTGCTCATTCGGGCTCATCAGTGAGATATGCCCAGTTACAGACGTCATGGGTGAAGAATCCTGGTCTGAACTGTCGCCGACGTGCAGTAACAAAGACTCCTTCGCGTTGGATAACGGCTCACGGAAGTGGATATCGCAGAGCTACTACCTCAGAGGCACGCGACAGAGGGCGGCACTCTGCGTGTGAGAGTTAACCAAAGAGTATGGATTCCTGCAGTCACGAAAGCTTCAAATCAAGAACGAGAGTTAACGTTCACCACGCGACGGTTCAACTGATGTGCAGTATTCTAGATTTGAAGTTTTCGCGACTGCAAGGATCCATATTCTTTGGTTCTTTCAGTAAAGTCACGTAGGTGGAAAAAATAATCCAAATGTATTTTATTCTATTTTTTATTATTTTTTCCACCTACGTGACTTTATCGAAAGAACCAAAGAATATGATGTGCAGTATATATAATTCTCAGAGGTGACATTTAGGAGATGCAGAACTAGATTGAATGTGGTGGCGTATTTGTGGTGCAGTCATTGTATGTCCACCGACTGGGCTGAGACAACTGGATTCGAAGCCAGGGTCTCTCTGAGCGTCGCCGTCTCAGAGCCGTGAGCCATCCGGTCACCTACTAACATCGGATTGTTTTTGTAACAGCCCAAGAAGGAAATTTGAAAAAATTGGTAATTAAATGTATCCATAATCCAATTTTAATGAAAAAAATATGTTAACCAGTTTTGTCCCGTCTCACCAAAATTTTGCAACTATCATTCACATTAACCTTTCCTTTTGTCAGCTCGGTATATCGTCTCTCCACGATCCAAAAAATGAGCACCTATTCTGTTGGAAGTTAATGCTAGTTTTTTTTTACTAATAAGGTAACACCTGCCATATGAATGTGGAATTGGAGACTGGTTTCTTACATGGACCACCAGGGCTTGCCGCGCGTCAATGGTGTGTGTGGCTGCAAGTTGTGGCCAGTGGGGAGCGGTAGTGTAGCGGTTAGCGCGCTGCGCTACGAACCCGGCGACCCCAGTTCGATTCCCGCTCATGGCCAACACCAGTGACAATTATCTGAATGGGTCCTAGGTCTCCCCTAGGGCGACTCAGCCTCAAATGAGTAACTGATGACGGACGCTTGTGTTGCGCCCGAAACGTCGTGATTTATTATATTTTATACCTACGCGACTTTACCGAAAGAACCAAAGAGTATGGTGCAGTGTGTAAACATCGCCACTCGGGAGACAAAGCCGGTCATACATGGTGCTGGCCACCCACCCCCTCGTGTGTCATTCGGGCCTTCATAGGTGCTCGCTTTCAGCACTTGCCCCAACAGTCTGTTTCAGGCTATACCGGGGATATTTGTCTTTGGTGTGGCCAGGAGATGTCGAGTGTCACCTCCTGTGCTATTAGCTCCCACGCGAAGCTTAAACGCTCACCAGGCGAATTGGCCAAACCATCCCAATGTAGCACCCCCCCCCCCACCACGAGCTTAAAAAAGAGACTTATGCGTTCTAATAATGCTGTAGAATGGCTGGAAATTAGTCTATACTTCGAACTTGAAAAATCCAAATGCTCATCTTGTGACTCGGTGAGGCATTCCTGGGTAAATAATTGGCATACTTATCAGAAGGTAAATAATTGGCACACGAGAATGTGGAACTTTCTGGAAGCTGGCTTGATGCCACGAACGGGGATCGGCAACGCTCCTAGCTTGAGCACGGAGCCTTTTTCCGGGGCCCGATTTACATTTCTTTGGCGAAACGGCCGAAACACATCCATCATCGCACCCCCGCATCGTCTCAGCGGTAGTCGCCCCGCTTGACGATGGTGATTGGAGACGTGGCCACGTTCTCGCCGAAAAAAATATATATTAATCTGACGAAAAGGGACGTTTCCAGATCGCCGTCGAACAAATTGTCACCCTCGTGGTGCTTTAAAAAAAAATTACGCTCATTCGCGTTTTTCGCGAGGCGCGACGTCTCTTTGATTTCGCACCTTGCGGAAGTTCACGTGCTCGGGTGCGGCACCCAGATTTGCCATTGTCAGCAAGCCTGACCCTTGCCCATCCCCCACCAACCATCCCTCTTTTCCCTGCGGCCACTGTGTGCCGCACCGGTTTTTGCCGATGACGGGCCAGCGCTGCCGATGCGGGCCCCTAATAACAACGGTTTTGCAGGCGAGGAAATTTGGGCTGCCCTCATTGCGCAGCCGCTCGTTGGAAAACGGCTTGTCGTTCGACGTTTCAGGCTGCGTCATTACCCAGCCCCCCCCCCCTTTCAATCACCATTACCGCCCAGTCCATCGGCATCCATCATCGGGGAAATATTTATTGTTAGTCAATCGCGGAATTGAATGGTGGTAATACAATGTTGGGACAAAAATATCACCACCGTGGCGTCGGTTATAAATCTGTGCCAAACACAGTGTCGGGAAAAATAGTGTTTACGGAGGGATTTGGAAGATTGGGCTGCGCCAAACGATAAGACACACCCCTGGATCCATCATGTGACTCCGGGTATGTGGAGCAGAATGCTCCATGCCCATGTTTCCCAGTTGCTAGTGATATGCTTAGGTGCAATGGCCTGCGGAAGCGAATACAACAGAGCTACCTCTCAAGATCCCTTCAAGTGAACCCTGAGGTGTACACACAGTGGATGGCAGCACTTTCCCACCCACTGTCAATGTTCATGGCGTGGCAGTCAAACCGATGTTTTCATTCTCAGAAGCTGGATTTTGGCCAAACGAAGCACGGTCCCCAGTTTAGCTTTGGTGGGTTTTAGTTGTGTGCAGTAATCACTGTCCACATCGCATGCAAACTCACAGCATTTGCACCGTTCACTCAGGAGCTGCCTTCATTCAACCGATGAGTGAAACGAGTTCAACCAACGACCGTGCAAGCACATCCTGAAAGTAACGCTCATTTGGAAAATTCCCCTTTACGAAACAAGCCGTGCAGTCTGGGGGGGGGGGGAGCGGCAGACGCAAAGCTGAACATTTATGGGGGCGATGACGTGGCACTGAGCGTCGAGCTGTCATTTGTGATGGCCATGTCGCTTCTGAAAAATAGCTATATAGCTCAGTGGGCCTTGTCTGGTAAAATATAAATATATATATGTTCAGGAGCTAAATGTTAATGTCGAGGTCTGCTAGCAACGACAAGATGACTTCAGGAGAGAGTTTGTGTAGTTTTTACTATTACTCCTCTGTTGATGGATTGCAGACCACAGTGGTTTACTATATGGTTTATAGTTTGGGTGGCATGATTATGATCATACTGTGGCTTGTCCATATGAGTCTCGATGTATACCTGGGTCTCTATATATTTTCATGGGTCTCTAATTATCTCTGAGCCTCTACCTTTATCTGTGTGTCTGTATGTGTTTACTATATGGTCCATAGTTTGTGTTGCATCGCCACAATTACACTGTGGCGTGTCTTAAATGTATCTCTATGAGTATCTATGTCTCTATGGGTATCCTATGCATTGTCATGGGTGTATAATGTATCTCGATGAGCCTCTAAGTGTATCTGTATGGGTTTACTATATGGTACAGAATTTGGTTTGCAGGGCTACATTTGGTTGATAGCTTCACCAGTGTCTTCGAGGAATGTCCAAAGCCAGGAGGTGCGATGTTTTGGGGATCGATTGAGGTATTCTGCACGTCCACGTTATTCCACTGTTCACCAGCATTCTTCCGGATGAGATGGCATGGCGTGTAATCCAGGCGGGATTGTAATATGTCCCATCGCCGCTGCATGCTGTATACGCGCAGCTGCGCGTATACAGCATGCAGCGGCGATGGACCGTGCCGCTACGAATCCCTGAGCGGATCGCCGCTTGAGAGTCGAGGATTCGCAACCCTACCGTAAGCAGCAACCGGTTGTAAACAACTGCTTGCAACTTGTTGCAGAGACGTCCATGTGTGAAGCGATTCAGTTGCGTGCAATCAAGTCGCGTAGCCAAATCGCTCAGGTGTGGACCCAGCTGTAGGGAGTTGACGCCGCTGCTGCTTCTGCCGCGTGTTGCTGCGCTGTGAGCGAGCAGACCCCAAGACGAGGCCATGGCGTCGGAGCCACCCCCACCGTATCAGGAGCCCTACCCCGTGGGCCCCTCGGTGCCCACCGCCCCGTCGGCAACCCCCGCCCCCAAGGGGCCTCCAGGAATGACTGGGCCATTGCTCGGTGACACCAAGTCGATGCCACAGCCCGGACAAGGTCGGCATCGCACAGTGCCTCCAGTGTCTCCAGATTTCTCCCATCTGTGCCTACGTCTCACGTTTGTCTGTCCCAGTGTGTCTTTGTATCTCCAGCTTGTCCCCTGTGTTTCTGTGTCTGCCTCGTGTCGTCCTTGCATCTTTTGTGTGTCTCTGTGCATTGTACGAAAGGGTGATTGCAATGTTTCGGTTGAACTTCCCGATAGGAAATGACAGCGGAAGTCTTATTACGGCGATAGTCATGATGAACGTTTAAAGGTGTGATTGAGTGGGGCAGGTATGCTAATACGTATATGTATGTTGCACTTCTTTCACACCGTACGTAGTCAACTGCAAATCGGAGGTATAGTGGAAGGACAACAAACTATACACCAAAAGCATATGGAGAGCGAAAGACAAAGAGCCATTTGTTTAGCCTTATCATCCACAGTGGCCTACAAGCCAATTGCTGTTAGCGAGCTCTCCTATAAAGCCGGCGCCTCGCATGGTTCGGTGGTGTGGCCAGCACCCTAGTTGGCCGCGTTGGTTCCCTAGTCTTAATGGTTACACACGGCACCCACCAGACGCTCGTGTGGCTGTGTTTCCCTCGGCGAGACCTGCAGGACCAGTTCAGATATCACCTGCCACTGACATTGGCCGTGGCCGCGAATCGAACTGAGGTCGCCGGGTTCGTAGCGTGATGTGCGGAATAAGGACTGCAAACTCCACACAAAAAGCAGTTCTCAAGAAATGGGTTTGTAAATCGAGATGATTTAAAAATGCATCGTTCCAGTGGCTTCCTATTATCCGAAGAAAGAGCTTTCCAGACAGCCGCAGAAGCGTATACAAAAGCACGCGATGCGGTAACCCTCTTTGTTCGATGGCCAGCCAAAAGCCGCTGTGAGGATGACCCAAGTTAGCATGATGGTTTCTGCTCCTTGACGAGATCAGCAAGGTGGTGGGAGAACGGCTGTAGTAGCGACCGTGATGAATAGAGAGGCGAGGAGGAGGACGCGGCTCGATAGTGGGAGATTGGCCTCAGTAAATCCACGAGCGCCCCCGTCTCTTCAACAGTGGACTCTGGCCCGAAGCGAGGGCGAGTGCACCCATGTGGCTGTCTGGCTTCCTGGCCCTCTCGGGTTAATCATTCATCTTTAAAAAAACATGTTTTTTGAAGAAGTGGTCCAGAATTGGAGAGCTACTTTGGGGCCATTTGCAGCGCCTCCTCTTCCTCAGTCTAACACGTAGGCTGTCGTGACCAATATTATCCAAAATAAATGGGTTTTTTTGGGTTAGATCCATTGCCGAGGTGGCGCTGTACGGCTCTACGGCGGTGTTTTTCTGGTCTCGCCCGATGCCGCCCAGTATCTTTTGCATCCGACGGTCGACGTTTCGTTCTGCCTGCCGTGGGAGTTTTTATTCCGGGAACCGAATTCCCCCTCGGCTTCATTCTCTTCAGGAGCTTAGTTTCGGTCGCCCGAGCACCCGCTGGGTTCAGTTTCCTGAAGGAGCTCGCAGCACGCGCAGCGGATCGCCGGCACACACGGCGCGGTGGCATGTAGCGTAGTATCGACAAGGCTCGATTATTACAACTCGCTACTCTACGGGAAGTTTGGCAAAAACATTACCAAGCTGCGGCTTGTACAAAACTCTTTGGCACATGTCGTGACGGGTACTGCAAAATGCCGACCTGTCCGTGCAGTGCTCGCCGAGCTGCATTGGCTTCCGGTTGCCGAACGAATACGTTATAAGGTCGCACTCATTACACACAAAGTGCTTGCCGCAAATGAACCACAAGAGCTTGCTGATCTCGTCAAGGAGTATAAACCATCATCACGCTAACTGCAGTTATCCTCGCAACAGCTTTCAGCTAACCATTGAACAAAGACGGTCACCACATCGAGCGCTTTCAGATGCACTTCTCTGGCCGTCGGCTATACTCTGCCTTCCGATATAAGGAAGCCACTGGAGCGATGCACTTTTATATCTAGATTGAAAACTAACTTCTTTAGCACTGCTTTTTGTGTTCAGTTCATTGTCCTTTCCCCGCACCTCCAATTAGCGCGGTTGTCTACATACGGTGCGAAAGAAGTTCAACATACGTACGTACGAATGGCACGTCGCGGCCTAAACCCGAACGCGCACGTGGGAGAGCACGTACGGGCGAGCCCCCATCGCTCATTGGGTGACGCATTTCGCCGCGGGAGCAAAAGGATAAGTATCGCCCCCTTCATCAACACTTCTTGACTAACAACGGCGACAATAACAACAACCACAAAAAGGTCGTCAAAATGCAACTGCGCCTGATTCATTATTTGTTTCTTTCGTTTGCGTTTGATCTCGTGGGTGCAAGTATCAGTTACTTTTTTTTCTTCAAACTTTAACCCTCCACCACACACCCGACAGAGCCAATCAAACAAGGTGGTCACGTGGGAGGCAAATGTGCCACCTTTTATCATTTATTTAACGAATGCTTTTACACGTGACTTTTACGCAGTTAGAGCACCAGATACACAAGAGAGTTAGTGGACGTCAGCCCACGTAACCACGGAGCCATGCAACGGTGTACTCCTCCTCGAGCACGTGCAGGGCAACCGATCCGCCCGGCGCGCTCTGACGCGCCCTGACGCACTTCACGTTGCCACCTGATTTGGTTCGTTGATTTTGTCGAACATTTCAGTGGAGGTCGCGTCCAGCATCACTGGGCGTTGGCAACAGCTGCACTCTCGCTGGGAGTCAACTAATCACGAATCACAAGATGCTCGTTCAGTGAAAAGGAATCGGCTAAACATACCAAGCAGCGCCCACCTGAATAAATAAAATAAAACATCTTCGCGATGAGGCTTTTCTGAATGAGCCGAGTTGACATTAATATACTAATTGTAATAATTATTATTTTTTCATTATAATTATGCAAGCATTTTATCGCATCATAGAGGATGTCCAACGGGGAGATTGAGCGATGAAACCGGTTGGTGCCCCAAGCGAGATCGTCCGTGTAACCTCGTACGGGGGATTTTCAGCATTGTTACATGGCACCGTTTTGTGAGGGGTGGTGGCGTCGGTGGCGTCTTGGGAGGGAGGCCTTGATCCAGCAGTAGATTGACCATGGCTGCTTATGATGATGATGGTGGATGATGGTGGATATGTATGTTGAACTTCTTTCGCACCGTACGTAGCCAACCGTGCTATTCGGTATTATGATCATGCAATTGTTTACCAACAAATAGTTGTCGATAAGCCGTTATTGCCCCGAGCCAGGCCTCCTTGAATGGCACAGTCCGCATCAAGCGCAATAGCCACGATGATAATTATCATTATTATTTAGCAAATGTTTACAAAGATATTAGGGAAGTAGATGATCTAAAAGTGGGGATGTGTTCTGGTTTCGGCGGCGCATGTGCAGAGCAGATAACGGCCGCTGTTATTACTGCTGTCGCGGGTCGCTGGTCACAGTGGGGTGCCCGTTCGTAGCGCCCAGGCGTGGCCGTGGCGGGGGGGGGGATGCAAGGGGCTGGGATCTGCGGTTTGGTTGTGGTCAGGCGCGCGAGAACGGGCCGTGACCAATTACGAGCGTGCGCGACGCGCGATAGTGAAGAGGACCTGGATCTGGGCGCATGTCTTTGCGTGCGTGGGTAAGTGTGCGCGCACGAGCGCGAGCGAAGCTCGAAGGGTTGCGCAGCGATCGGCGCACTGCCCTAGGAAACTCGATCTGCCGCTCACTGTCAACTTCGCCAGCGAATATCTGAACCGGTCCTGGGCCTCCCCTAGCTCGACTCAGCCTTAGATTAATACCTGGTGCAGCGTGTAAACATCGGCATCGGGGAGACAAAGGCGGCCGGGGCACGGTGTTGGTCACCCATCCTCTCGTGTGCCATGCCGGCCTTCATAGGTGCTGCTCGCAAACGGCACTCGCCCTAACAGTCTGTTACAGGCTATACGGGGCGATCTTTGTCTTTGTTCACATGCGTGTGTGTGTGTACGTGTTCACGTGTGTCGCTGCAGATGGACAGTTCCCCGTGCAGACTCAGCCCAGCTGGTTCCCAGCCCTCCCCCCGTACTCCGCCACCCCACCCACCATGGGCCCTCCCCAGCAGGGGTACCCAACGTCCCCCGGCGAGTATGGACCAGGTACGCCTTTCGGGCCACGGGAATGTGGAATGGGCACCGCCGATGGAGATGAGAGCCGCCCGTCGCTCGTTCGTTCGGAGCGTGGAGGTGCCGCTGTTATTCTCTGTGTAATGCTGTGCGTGTTGTGTAGCTATTGTAATTGTAGAATGCGATTGAAATCGCATAATGCGGTTGTAATTGTATATTGTAATTGTATAATGGGATTGTAATTGTATATTGTAATTGTGATCATGTATAATAGTATTGTAATCGTACAATGCGATTGTAATCATATCATGTACTTGCATAATGCGATTGTAATTGTATACAGGTGGCCCCCCGCTTTTACGATACAATGCGATCCCGGAAACCCCCCCCCCCCCCCCCGTCGTCGTAAAGCGGTACCCCGATTTTCCCTGTAGACGGTGGCGAGGGGAGAAACAACGCTCGCCGATGTGTTTTTCCATTCATCGGCCGTACGTGACAGGGCTCAACGGGAAAACATCCACTAAAACAAACCGCTCGAGAATAACGAAACGGCCACACGCCAAGCCACGTCGGAAGGCAGACCACCCCCCCCCCCCTCCCACTCACGTGTCGGGAGACGCGTCGCTCGTCGCGTTTGGGCGCCGTTAAGATCGACCCGTTGGTGGCGTGTGTAGGCAACGCAGAAGTGCGGATCGTTTGTGAAAATCGGACCACCGTCGTAAAACCGGCCGTGCAAGCACTCCACCCCAGGCCTTGGCATCAGAACCCTGACCAAAATCAGAATCCTTATTGAGGCTGGAGGCGGAGGAATCTGATGAGCCACGAAGCTCTTTTTCACAGACATCCAGTCAGGGGCGGGCGCGTCGTCAAGTTACACCAAACAAACGAATACAACGGACGCTTTGAGCGCACGATAGGGGAAAGGTAAGCAAGTAAATAAGTAAATGTAAATAAAGTAGAGGAGTGCAACAATCGGACACGAGTGCACATCCCCTCGTGCCTCTTAAGAACAAAGCCAACTCAATAAGGCAACCTTTGTTTGGCTACTGTACCCTCCTTGTTGAATTTTGTTTCCACCGAGTACCACCTTGCCTTACCCAACACGGTTGTGAGAGATAAATGCGTGGATAATGACCATCAATAGTTTAACCAATTGTCCATGTTGTGAGGTATCCTAATTCGCTAGTACACTGCAAGCAAATAAGATCAATTCAACGGGACGCTCTGCATACTTGGCGTACTTTGTTCGTGCTCGTTTACGGGTTTAGAAAGGTATTTTATATCGTCCTCGGTTACCATACGGATTAAAATATTCTGAATTTTGATTTAAAGCTTTCGTGACTGCAGTAATTCATATTCTTAGTTCTTTCGGTAAAGTCACGTTGTTTCCCTTCAACGTGACTTTACCGAAAGAACTAAGAATATAAAATATTCTGGTAGTTATTTTACATTGGTAGATGCATGCGTGATTCTTCATCAGTGACTCTCATGTATGATATAAGTTCACACATTTATAGATCACCTCATGTACCCCCTGGGACGTTGCCACATACCCCCAAGAGTCTGCGTATCCCCGATTAGAATTTATATATGCCAGCACGCACCATTTAATTAGGTAGTGAGGGAAAAAAGTATTTGATCCCCTGCTGATTTTGTATGTTTGCCCACTGACAAAGAAATGATCAGTCTATAATTTTAATGGTATGGGTAATTTGAACATTGAGAGACAGAATAACAACAACAAAATCCGGAAAAACGCATGTCAAAAATGTTATAAATTGATTTACATTTTAATGAGGGAAATAAGTATTTGACCCCTCTGCAAAACATGACTTAGTACTTGGTGGCAAAACCCTTGTTGGCAATTACAGAGGTCTGACGTTTCTTGTAGTTGGCCACCAGGTTTGCACACATCTCAGGAGAAATTTTGTCCCACTCCTCTTTGCAGATCTCCAAGTCATTAAGGTTTCGAGGCTGACGTTTGGCAACTCGAACCTTCAGCTCCCTCCACAGATTTTCTATGGGATTAAGGTCTGGAGACTGGCTAGGCCATTCCAGGACCTTAATGTGCTCCTTCTTGAGCCACTCCTTTGTTTCCTTGGCCATGTGTTTTGGGTCATTGTCATGCTGGAATACCCATCCACGACCCATTTTCAATGCCCTGGCTGAGGGAAGGAGGTTCTCACCCAAGATTTGATGGTACATGGCCCTGTCCATCGTCCCTTTGATGCGGTGAAGTTGTCCTGTCCCCTTAGCAGAAAAACACCCCCAAAGCATAATGTTTCCACTTCCATGTTTGACGGTGGGGATGGTGTTCTTGGGGTCATAGGCAGCATTCCTCCTCCTCCAAACACGGCGAGTTGAGTTGATGCCAAAGAGCTCCATTTTGGTCTCATCTGACCACAACACTTTCACCCAGTTGTCCTCTGAATCATTCAGATGTTCATTGGCAAACTTCAGACGGGCATGTATATGTGCTTTCTTGAGCAGGGGGACCTTGCGGGCACTGCAGGATTTCAGTCCTTCATGGCGTAGTGTGTTACCAATTGTTTTCTTGGTGACTATGGTCCCAGCTGCCTTGAGATCATTTACAAGATCCTCCCGTGTAGTTCTGGGCTGATTCCTCACCGTTCTCATGATCATTGCAACTCCACGAGGTGAGATCTTGCATGGAGCCCCAGGCCGAGGGAGATTGACAGTTCTTTTGTGTTTCTTCCATTTGCGAATAATCGCACCAACTGTTGTCACCTTCTCGCCAAGCTGCTTGGCAATGGTCTTGTAGCCCATTCCAGCCTTGTGTAGGTCTACAGTCTTGTCCCTGACATCCTTGGAGAGCTTTTGGTCTTGGCCATGGTGGAGAGTTTGGAATCTGATTGATTGATTGCTTCTGTGGACAGGTGTCTTTTATACAGGTAACAAGCTGAGATTAGTAGCACTCCCTTTAAGAGTGTGCTCCTAATTTCAGCTCGTTACCTGTATAAAAGACACCTGGGAGCCAGAAATCTTTCTGATTGAGAAGGGGTCAAATACTTATTTCCCTCATTAAAATACAAATCAATTTATAAATGTTTTGACATGCGTTTTTCTGGATTTTGTTGTTGTTATTCTGTCTCTCACTGTTCAAATAAACCTACCATTAAAATTATAGACTGATCATTTCTTTGTCAGTGGGCAAACGTACAAAGTCAGCAGGGGATCAAATACTTTTTTCCCTCACTGTATGTGTGCGTGTGTGTTTGACTGCAGTATTATGGTCATTGTATCAATGTTTACAGTATATTTTACATTAATATGTTTGCGTAAGTGTCATTACTATCTTGATTTGAAGCTTTCGTGACTGCAGGAATCCATACTCTTTCCACGTAGGTGGAAAAAGAAAAGAAAATTATTTGTATTTTATTTCGCAACGTATGTAGCCAACCGTGCCTCAAATGAGTACCTGGTGCGGTGTGTAAACATCACAACTAGCGAGACAAGGCGACCGGGCGTGGTGCTGGCCATCCACCCCCTCGTGTGCCGTGCTGGCCTTCATAGGTGCTCGCTAACAGCACTTGCCCCAAAAGTATGTTGAGGCTAAATGGGGGATCTTTGTGTTTGACTACATGGTGATGTTCATTGTATCAATGTGTCCTGTACAGTACATGTTACATTATTAATTCGTTTGCGTGTCATTACGTGTTTGTTTTGTGTGTGTTATAGTGAGTGTGTATGGAGTGGTAATGTAGCGGTTATTGCATTGCGCAATGAACCCAGCGACCGAGTTCCATTCCCGCTCACGGCCAACACCAGTGACGATTATCTGAACCGGTCCTGGGCCTCTCCTAGGTCGACTCAGCCTCAAATGAGTACCTGGTGCGGTGTGTAAACATCGCCACTCGGGAGACAAATGCGGCCGGGCGTGCTGCTGGCCACCCACTGCCTCGTGTGCCGTGCCGGCCTTCATAGGCGCTCGCTTACTGCACTTGGCCCAACAGTCTGTTACAAGCTATGGGGGATGGAGTCTTTACCTTTGTTTGTATGTTGTGTTTGTACACCGCGTCATTACCTGTTTGGTGTCTCGTCACCTGACACCCTGGACACCCTTGCCAAAACGAGATGTTCCATCTGAAAGGGATGGTGCAGGCGAACGCATTCTCATCTTAAAAAGAAAAATGTATATCAATCACCAACAACAACAACCACCACAACAATCGTAAATCAACAGCGTCTCCTTCTCCGCCCCCCCCTCCGATCTCCGAGCAGCCTTCTACCCGCAGCAGCCCGTGGGCCCCTACCCTGCGTACGGCCAGCCCTTGGCGGCAGGGGGGCCCGGCGGGCCCGCGGGCCCCACTATGGTCGTGCCGTCGGCGGCGGGCCAGGCGGTGACGCTGTTGCACAGTGAGGTGCCCCAGCCGTACCCGATGCGCATGGTGTGCCCGCACTGCCAGCTGCTGGTCACGACGCAGACGTCTCACATCTCGGGCACAATGAGCGTGCTCATGTGCGTCCTCTGCTGCATCGTCGGGTGAGTGCGGGGGGGCCCCCCTTCCTACCGCTTCTCAGTCCGTGAGGGGGGGGGGGGGGTAGCCGGTGGGGGGGGTGAGTTGGGTAGGGGGGGAAAGTGGGCAGTACCACCTGGGGTGGAAGATTCAACCGAGTGTCTGCCATGGGGCAGTGTCTGCCACGATCAGTGTCCACTAGGGGCAGTGTCCACCACGGGCAGTGTCTACCATGAGCAGTGTTCACCACGGGCAGTGTCCACTATGGCCATTGTCCACCGTAGGCAGTGTCCACCATGGGCAGTGTCCACCATGAACAGTGTCCACTATGGGCATTGTCCACCATAGGCAGCGCCCACCATGGGCAGTGTCCACCATGAACAGCGTCCACCATGGGCAGTGTCCACCATGAGCAGTGTCCACCGTGGGCAGTGTCCACCATGGGCAGTGTCCACCATGGGCAGTGTCCACCATGAGCAGTGTCCACCATGAACAGTGTCCACCATGAACAGCGTCCACCATGGGCAGTGTCTACCATGAACAGCGTCCACCATGGGCAGTGTCCACCATGAGCAGTGTCCACCATGAACAGCGTCCACCATGGGCAGTGTCCACCGTGGGCAGTGTCCACAATGGGCAGTGTCCACCATGGGCAGTGTCCACCATGGGCAGTGTCCACCATAAACAGTGTCCACCATGAACAGTGTCCACAATGGGCAGCGTCCACCGTGGGCAGTGTCCACCACGGGCAGTGTCCACAATGGGCAGCGTCCACCGTGGGCAGTGTCCACCATGGGCAGTGTCCACCATGAACAGTGTCCACTATGGGCAGTGTCCACCATGAGCAGTGTCCATAATGGGCAGTGTCCACCAGGGGCAGTGTCCACCATGAACAGTGTCCACCATGGGCAGTGTCCACCATAAACAGTGTCCACCATGGGCAGTGTCCACCATGAACAGTGTCCACAATGGGCAGTATCCATCATGAACGGTGTCTACCATGAGCAGTGTCCACCATGGGCAGTGTCCACCGTGGGCAGTGTCCACCGTGGGCAGTGTCCACCGTGGGCAGTGTCCACCATGGGCAGTGTTCACCATGAACAGCGTCCATCATGGGCAGTGTCCACCATGAACAGTGTCCACCATGAACAGCGTCCACCATGGGCAGTGTCCACCATGAGCAGTGTCCACCATGAACAGCGTCCACCATGGGCAGTGTCCACCGTGGGCAGTGTCCACAATGGGCAGTGTCCACCATGGGCAGTGTCCACCATGAACAGTGTCCACCATGGGCAGTGTCCACCATAAACAGTGTCCACCATGAACAGTGTCCACAATGGGCAGCGTCCACCGTGGGCAGTGTCCACCACGGGCAGTGTCCACAATGGGCAGCGTCCACCGTGGGCAGTGTCCACCATGGGCAGTGTCCACCATGAACAGTGTCCACTATGGGCAGTGTCCACCATGAGCAGTGTCCATAATGGGCAGTGTCCACCAGGGGCAGTGTCCACCATGAACAGTGTCCACCATGGGCAGTGTCCACCATAAACAGTGTCCACCATGGGCAGTGTCCACCATGAACAGTGTCCACAATGGGCAGTGTCCATCATGAACGGTGTCCACCATGAGCAGTGTCCACCATGGGCAGTGTCCACCGTGGGAAGTGTCCACCGTGGGCAGTGTCCACCATGGGCAGTGTTCACCATGAACAGCGTCCATCATGGGCAGTGTCCACCATGAACAGTGTCCACCATGAACAGCGTCCATCATGGGCAGTGTCCACCATGAACAGCGTCCACCATGGGCAGTGTCCACCATGAACGGCATCCACCATGGGCAGTGTCCACCATGAACAGCGTCCACCATGGGCAGTGTCCACCATGAACGGTGTCCACCATGGGCAGTGTCCACCATGGGCAGTGTCCACCCTGGGCAGAAAGCTTATGCTCATATTCCGTAGATATTTCATATCATGTTTTTTTCCCTCGCCCGCTCGAACGCTCGCACGCTCGAACACTCGCTCGGATAAAATTCAACAGCGTTCATCCTACGGAGGGAATTTCCCCCCCTCCCGCCCATGGGAATATGGAATTTCCCACTGTGGAAACGGAGATGAGCGCCGCCCCAACACCCCAACGCCCCCTTTCGTTTTGAACCCGGGAGACTCTTCCCAATTATCTCAACTTTTTTTCCCCTTCCTCAAAAACGACCGCGTGTCGCCGACACACTTCAAACGGCAGCGCTCGCACACGCCCCAAATCGCTGGCCACCTTCGCCTTTACCGCCGCCGCTACTCGCCGAGATTAATCCGGGCAGCTGTACGGAGAGGGACGTCCGGGGGGAAAGGAACGCACGAAAAAAAAGGTCCGGAAACGGACGAGCAGAGGTTTGGGGAAAACAAAGATTCAAGAATAGGTCACAACTACATAATCTTTGGGCCTATTTTAAAAGCGGCGCGTTATTTTCCGTTTCCGAAGCAAACAGAAGAGGGCTATGATTAGTGATCGCTGGCGCGCTGACAGCAGGGATCACAACGGCGCGATCGTAATCTCTTCCGTGGCCCCATGCGGCCCGTGGGGGGGGGGGGGGGGGGGGGGGGGGGGGGGGGGGGGGGGGGGAAGAGACGCGCGGATTGAATGGGCTTTATTTGACGGTCAGAGTTAAACTAAACTTCTAAACTATTTGAACATTTTTTTTTATTTTTCCAGGTAAGGCCCACTGAGCTATGTAGCTCTTTTTCAGAAGCGACCTGGCCACATCTGATAGCTTCAAGGAAGTGGCTTATCACGTGGAAATGTATTGCAGCCAAATTCTTTAAACGCACATAAGATTCACGGGGAGAACATGCAAAAATCCACGCGATCACAGGGAGAGAGAGATGCAAACTCCAATTATACAGGCGTCAGGGTCGGGATCGAATCCACTACCTCCTGTATACCAGGCGAGGTAGTTAACATCTCCTAGCCACCATGGGTTGGATGCCAGCGGTGGTCCCATGGAGGTGGTGAGCCTATCGTCTTTCTCGTGCGCTCCCTCCAACCTTGGTTTGGCACGTGCAGGACTCTTCGCGTGGACAGACTTGGGAAGTGGTCCCCGGGGCAAACGTCGAAGCGGAGGTTTTGGTCTCGTCTAGAAGTCCTGCCTTCTTCATCTGTCAGTATCGCCGCATACAAAATTAAAAAAAATGTTTGTTTGTACACATCCAATCAGCCGCACGGCCTTCTGTGGAGTGAACCTCTCCAGCAGCACATTCAGTGTCTCGACAGCAGAGTCAGGCTTGCTTCAACCAATGCTGGGGAACTGCCGATGTCTGAAGGGCAAGGAAGAGCCTGTCCGTTAGACATTGGTCCTAGTTCGACGTAAAACCATAGCACAAAATTCTGGTATCGATTGACGCCAGTGACTGACCGGGCCGAGACGTTAAAACTCACTACACACGACGATGGTTTAGTCGCGTGCGTGCGCGTCCGCGTAAATAAAAAAACGCGGATGTTTGAATCCAGCGTGCCAAACCCGCGGACTCTGGTCCCCATGGAACGACCATGATGAAACCACGTTTTAAATAAAGACGGGAAAGAAACATTTGGTAGTACAACTGAGTGTGTCTCTGACACAGACATTGTAACTTCATTAAAGGAGCGAGAGAGAGCAAAAGAAACCCAGTCCCAATGACCTGAAGCCAAAAGCCCATTTGTGCTGGCTCAGCGCTTTTGCCGATGTGGCAATTATGAACCAGCTTAGACCAGATCCACAACTCCAACCCAGGATTCTAATGTTACTGGCTCATTACACCCCCCCCCCCGCCTCCTGAATAAGAGAGTCAGACACTTAAGGTGCAGCACTTGAACTTGTCGACCTGGCAGTGCTGGCTCCTCCGTCCGTGACAGCCTTTTAGAGTCCCCAGAGAGAGCGAGTGACACCCCCACCCAAAACCTGGAGCCGGAACCTCATCGGTGCTGTCTGAGCATCTCCGACACGTCCATTATGAGTCCCCAGATAAAGACGAGAGTGATGCGCAGCCTCAGAACGTGAACCCATAAACTCACCGGTGCCGACTCGGTGACTGCGACGCAGCCATTACGATCGCCCTGAGCCAGTGGGGCCACTCAGCGCGCTGGCGAAATGTTAACTCCCTCTCCTTGTATGCAGGACGTCGTGAGTTCGATCCCGACCCTGACGCCTGCTGTGTATTTGGAGTGTACGTGTCTCTGCCCGTGGTCGTGTGGATTATTCTCTTGGTCCTACGCTTTTCCCCTCCACGTGCGTTTAGAGTATTTGTCTGGTGTAAATTTCCATGTGATGATAAGCCGCTTCGTTGAGCTGTTGATCATTTGTGGGCAGGTCGCTTCTGAAAAAAAAGAGCTATATATCTAAGTGGGCCTTAGCTGGATAGTTTTAGTCATAAATGTTCTTTAATTCTTTAAACACGTGGGGCGATTTCCATTAAAAGTTTCGCCGTGATCGCACTCAAGCGCATGTGTGTGGGGATGCAGCCATGGCTCTGGGTAAAGCCTCGGCGACCGTAGTTCCATCGCCACCACCACCTTGCTCGTTAATCCAATGAGGCCACCCCCCCCCCCCCGTCTCTCTCTCTCCCCCTCCCTCTCTCTCCCTCCCTCTCTCGCTCGCTTCGCGCGCCGAGATCTCGTTCTGGTTATTTTGGAGGCACGTCTCCCCAAGGAGGAGGATGAGCATGAGCAGTCGAGGACCAGGAGTCGGGCCAGGGCTTCCAAACGCATGAGCTCACGCGCGAGGGGCCCAGGAGTGGCTCTACCACTCGCAGCCCTCTCCTTCTCTCTCTTGCGCACCGCTCTCTCGCTCTCTCGCTCGCTCTCTCCATGTCGCTCGCTGTCTCTCCATCTCTCTCTCTCTCGCTCGCCTTGGGTCTCGCCCTCCCTCTCTCACCATGGCTCGGAAAAGGACGGAAACAACCTGAGATGGTTTTGTTCCGCCACGTCTCGTGAACGCGCACACCCGCGTGATGTTTTTGCGTTTTGCCCGTTAGCGTTTTTTCCCCAATTTTTTTGGTTAAATTGACGCAGCAATGACCATACGTTTACCACGCTGGCCAGTGCGGGTTCGGCGATGGGGATCGGGTGCCCAGGACTCGTTCCGCTAATGATCGCCGACGGGAATCGAACTCGTGCGGCCAGCTTCGCTGTGAGGTGTTGTCCCTGTAACGTTTTCGGTTGTTCCTGCCACACCGTTACCAACGCGGTCGATTCCTTCCTCTTTTGGGTGCGGAGTGGTGGCGCAGCTGTTAGCGCACTGCGCTTTGCACCCGGTAACCCGAGTTCGATTCCCGGCCTAGGTGGTGAAGAGTGATGTCTGAACCAGTCCTCTGCTCCCCCCCCCCCCCCGACCATCGTGGTGAAGTATGGTCAATAACCCCCATGAGCAGCAAGGTGTGGGGAGGCCTTCATCCAGCAGTGGATTGACAAAGGAATACCTTTATTTATCTCTGCTGCCCTTCATGTTGTATTGGTTTTGTGTGGCCCTGTGGCCAGCGCGACCGACTCACAATAGGGAGGTCACGCATTCAAATTCCGGTTGGGGGCCGACTCAGCCCAACATCATCACCACCACCACCTGGTAAAATTAGTGACTTTTGTGGGAGGTCCACTGGCCGTGCCACGGAAGGACTAGGTGCCGTCATGGCAAAGTGGAAGTTTATTTTACAGGGCTACCTCTGAGATACCCTCAAACTCTTGTGTTTAGTTTGTCCTTCCCCCGCACCTCCGATTAGCACGGTTGGCTACGTACGGTGCAAAAGAAGTTCAACATACATACATACAAGCGACATCCCGTTCACACAGTAGGGCAAGGCAATTTCCCACTCACTCTGCATATGAGAGTAATTTTCATCGCACGCCGGCCAAACCAATATTGCATTCTCAGAGCTGGAATTGTGCCAAATTAAGTGCAGAACCGAATTCAACGTGGTCATTGCTTTTGTTTGCGTAGTCGTTGGTGAGCGGGCTGATACCATCAACTCACTGGCCTTGAGAACCCAGTGTAATCACGAGCGGCTGTCTGGATTCGAACCCAGTTTCTTACCGGTGGCAATGTTTTTTGTTTTTTTGTGCTGTTGTAACCATCGCAATGTTTTCGTGGAAAGTCCGCATTGGATTTCACGTCGCCACCCAGGCCGCTTGCTTCCGTGATTGGCTGCGCCACCTGTGAAGAACCTGTCACGTGACCTCATGTGACTGTCCCATCGCCTAAATAAAATCCTGAAGGTTGCCAGCCACGTGCGCCGCGTAGCAGGTCACAGCCGGGTAGCGTGAAGCAATAAAACGCTTCGGGAGCGGTTTCGGCCCGAGGCAAGCGTTGGCAGGCAAGCGTTGGCAGCGTCGTCCATCTCTTATCCCATCCCTGCAGCCACTAGAAACGCTGCTATTCAGTGGAATCACGACAATTCACGGCATCGTCAGAGTGTGTTCAATCACTCCACCGCTCGGCGTTCAGCGAGCCCGCGCCGCTGAAAGCAACTGCGGAGCGTCGCCCGTCTCCGTGAGCCTCGCTGAGCCTGGCGGCGGGAATTCCACATTCTTATGGCTACGGACGTGTACCGCCTTGCGTTGCCTCGGCTCGGAATCTGGACGGCCGCCACCGCCGACCCAGTAGCCCGGGCGGTTCGGTGCAGGCCGCTGACCCTGTGGCGGCGGCACGACCGTGCGGTTATTTCCGTGCCGTTTCCCCCCCCACCCCCTGCCCCCCCCCACCCACGGACTTGCACTTCGATCCCCGCCGAGCGCCGGCCACATCAAAATGCAGCATGGGGCCTGAGACGTCGTCTCGATTACACAACGAGAGAGAGAGAGAAGGAGCTACCGGCCAATTTGATGAGCTTATGCGTGCATGCATTCACACGCCCCCACACTTAACTCACAACCGATATGTCAAGGTCATCTCCCAGATGTTATTAAAATAGCCAAGGTGGAAAAGTCAAAAGTCTTCCCACGCCCCCCCCCCACCAGAACCAAGCGTGGCGCTCAGTTCTGGTGGTGGAAATTCTACATTCTCATGGTGGGGAGGAGTCTAAGTTTCATCGACCCTGTAGAAATTTTCCAATCGGTGCTCATCCGTACGTAGCACGGTTGGCTACGTACACCGGTGCGAACGAAGTTCAACATACAGTACTTGCACATACATCACCCGTCCGTCCGCACGTGACGCATGGATCATGGGCACGGACGCTGACTTAGAATGCGGAACGAAAGCTGTGAGGTGTGCGGAGAGGCGCGTGAAGAGGCGCACGTTCGGAATTGCGCTGCGAGAGGGCAGGAAGAGTCACGTGGATCGGAGAGCACATACGTGCGTGCGCGGGGCAGAGACTCGCGTATGACTTTGAGAGAAGTAAAGTGGCGCTCGGGCAGGGCACATCGTCGTGAGAAGGGGCGATGGCCGGCGGTGGAGACGCAGCGATGAAATCCACTCGTGTGCTGAAGCCGCATAAATTCTACCGTTGCACCCCTGTGATGATTATTTTTAAGTTGATACTGCTGATGATGCTCCTGCTAATGGTGGTGATGATATATGTATTATTTGATGCCGCTTCTACCGCTGCCGCTACCGCTGTTTATTATCGTAATGCTGCTGCTGCCGCCCGTAATTAATGACGTGGCGACAGCGACGGTGACAGTCCGACCGGAGCCCAGAGGCCTCGCCTCAAGATCACACGCTGCAGGGTCGGGAGCGTCTGATCAACACGCCGTTTCTGGGCGGGCGGGCGGGCGGGCGAGCGAGAGGGCGAGCGTTTTGACCGGGCGGGCCCCCGACGAGCTCGGCGGCCCTGCGGAAGAAGGCGGCCTGCCCCCCTCCCCTCCCGAAATCTCGCAGCTGTCGCACCGCGACGACGGAGACCGACGGCGCGGTGGCCTCCGGGCGGCCCCTTCCCCCCCCCCCGCGCGCCGTGGCCAACCACAGCGGGCGGCGCCAACAGCGCAGTTTTTTTTTCCCTGAGCACGGTCGCAACTGTTGCTGTGTGTTTGCGCAATTAGCCGGCCTTTTTGATTAATGGCGCGGGGCCGTAGTTTTCTTTAGCCCCTGGTCGATGCCCCCTGAAGAGAGGGGGAAAAGTTGCACGCCCCGCTTAAAATAACTGGCTGCCCCCTTCGAGCTGCCTGGTTGTCGTCGTTGCGGCCCGGACCGTGCGCAGGAGCCGGCGTGCGTGGTTTGTGTGCGCGTGCCTGCGTGGGTGCGCGTGGTTGTGCCATTCGTAGGAGCCGTAGCGGTTGAGCCCCTCGCCGACTCGCCGCGATTGTGGGGGTGGCCGCGTCGCGAATCGCGGATCGGTTCTTCTCGTTTTTTAACGGGCCCGGCGTGTGTCGTTCCTCGTCCTGCGCAGTGTGTTTGCACGTGCTCCGTCAGCCTATTTGCGCGCACAAAAAAAAAAACCCGCTCATTCGTCGGCACGCGTGCTTGTGCACGACTTCATGCCATGCGTGTCGTGATCGTAGTATTCGCAGAGCAAATAAGCGCGTGCGTGCATGCCCACGCGGTCATGCGCACATGACGGCACTTGCCAACACGACAGTCTATGACAGGGAATCGGCGCGCGTGTGTGTGTGCATTTGTGTTGGCAAACAGCTACTTCGTTGAGCTATCCTTTGTGATAGGTTGCTTCTGAAAACGAGCCATGTAGCCCATTGGGCCTTACCTGGTAAAATAAAATAAATGAGGAGTGGTAGTGCAGTGGTTAGTGCAATGCACCGGTTCAATTCCCGCTCCTGGCCAACACCAGTAACGATTTTTGAAATCGGTCCTGGGCCTCACCTAGGTCAACTCAGCCTCAAATGAGTACCTGGTGCAATGTGTAAACATCGCCACTAGGGAGACAAAGGCGGCCCGGCTTGGTGCTGGCCACCCACCCCCTCGTGTGCCGTACCGGCCTTCATTGGCGCTGCTACTCGCTAACAGCACCTTGTCTCCAAATTCCGTTAAGGCTACATGGGTGACCTTTGTCTTTGTTTGCGCTGACGCAGGTGCGACCTGGGCTGCTGCCTCATCCCGTTCCTCATCGACGACCTCAAGGACGTGGAGCACACCTGTCCCAACTGCAAGGCGCACCTCTTCATGTACAAGCGGCTGTAGGGCGGCGGCAGGGCTCCCAGAAGACCCACACGCGCACGCGTACACACACAGACACACACGTGTACACGCACACATGTACACATACGCACATGTACGCACACACGCAACATCAACAACCGCCATTCGCCACTAAGTGGTGGTGACGTCACCACGGCGCTTGTGCCAGGCTACACGCGTTGTGCACACACACGCGCGTCCGCGCACACACAACCCACGCGTACTCACGCACACACAACCCACGCGTACTCACGCACACACAACCCACGCGTACTCACGCACACACAACCCACGCGTACTCACGCACACACAACCCACGCGTACTCACGCACACACAACCCACGCGTACTCACGCACTCGGCCCGCACCCGTACAAAACCGCCGTCCCACTGCAGCCGCCTGCACGTGACGACGGCGCCGCTGCTCCTCGCCGACCGTGGACGGACGACGTGAACACGCGTGTCGCGGCGAAACACTCACATCGGCGCGCTATATACATATATAAATAGGAATGGCGGGACAGCACTAAGGGAAGGTTTAACCAATTAGCCGCGCGCGATAGGGTTCACGGAGGCGTGCCGTGGCCGTTTGTGGGGTGGGGTGGGATGAGTGTCGGGGATTTAAGCTCGTTAAACGCAACCGCCTCTGGAGCTGAACGCGACGTCGAGAAACCGCCCGGCTCGCTCTCGCCCGTGGGCGAGCCGGCGAACGCATCCTGCGTCGCCCGCTCCTTTCCCCTCGACGGGGCGGGGGGCGAATCCGCTTTTGGGTTTTTTGGGATCGCACCACCGCCGCAGTCCCGCGCACGGTCCGTGTCCTTGCTGGCGGGAAAACCCAAGGGGTGGGGATCGGCGTCACACCGATGCCTGATCCCATCGCCTAACCCCCCTGCCGAATTCTGATGTTGAGAGGGAGGAGGGGGTAGATGGAAGGGCGGGGGGGGGGGCTGGGGGGTCGTCTCGCCGACCGTCACGATCGCTCTGCCGTCGTGGGCACGTTTCGTTTCGCTGGATCGAGCGCTCTCGGTGACCGTCGTTGTTGAGGCAGCGGTGGGGGCTCAGGGCCGCGAAGCTTAATTGAGCGGGCAGGGGTGTTCTCTCGGTCGGAAGTCGACGGAAGTCTTTGCCGATTCGTTGCTGACCACACCCCCTTGCCGCGTGCGACTTGGGAGGTTTCTACACCAGCATCGTCTCCTTGCCGCGTGCGAGCGCACGAGCGGCTGTTGTGACCGAGATCGTCGGCTCTCAAACGACGCTCTGACAACGATGTTGACGCACCCGGCGGAGATGGATCGTTGCGTCCGATATGGAACCTCCCCTCCCGTCTGATGCAGAGCCCTCCCGTCCAATAGAGAAAACTTCGTGTCGTCCGATACGGAACCCTTGCGTCATCCAGCACTGAACCTTTGCCTAACCCGACACGGAACCCTCATCTTGTCAAATGCAGAACCTTTTTTTTTCATCCAATAGAGAAACCTTCGTGTCGTCCGATGCAGAACCCGCCGTTTTGTCCAATACAGAGCCCTTGTTCAAAACGGAACCGTCATCTCATCCGATACGGAACCCTCATCTCATCCTATACAAAAACCCTCGTTTATTTATTAACTTAATATAAACCCTTTGACCCGCTACCTTACAGAACCTCCGTCTAATCAGGTACCAACCCAGAACCGCAAGTCTCGATCCCATGCAGGGCCCTCGCGTTATTTATGGTGCCTTAGTTTAGGTTCAATGAGCATTAGCCGATTCCACCACCTTCACATCGGTCATCTTAGCCCCGGTCGGACGGCCCTCACAGAAGTACGGCTCCCGTTGGTCGGATCCCTTTGCCCGTGGGGACCAAACAAAACGTTGCTGTCAACGAGAACCAAACTGTGATTGCAATGTGCCCGCTCTTCGTTGTCACTTCTTTTCATTGCTTCGGTGAAAAGGCGCGCGGAGAGAGCCCAGCGGTGGGCCCAAGGCACTGCGGCCCAGCTTGGGATGCGTTGCCAAATCGTCTTTGTCGAGGACTTTTGCTTATTATCCGCTTGCCTGAATTTATCTAAAGAAAAAAAGAATACGACACGACGCTCGCACGCCTCACGAATTGTTTACCTGCGATTTAGCACAGCCATGGGGGGGGTGGTGGCTGGAAATAGACGAACCATTGGTTCGTCGGCCCGGTTTACGCCGTCGTATGTTGTGGTATGTCGTTGTACGTCACGATACGTCGTTGTACATCGCAGTACATTGCAGTACATCATTGTACGTCGCTGTACGTCATGACGTCGCTGTACGTCGTCAGGTCGCGGTACGTCGTGACGTCGCTGTACCTCGTGACGTCGCTGTACGTCGTCACGTCGCGGTACGTCGTGACGTCGCTGTACGTCGCTGTACGTCGTGACGTCGCGGTTCTTGCTCGCCGACTCGCGGGCGCGGTGAGTGTAAACACCCGTAATAACTGTTTTTGTTATTAGATCGAGTAAATATAAATGTGTCGTTCACCCACCACCACCCGACATGGCCAGTTCGTAAAGGTCTTGTCACGTTAACAAAACGTGCCAGTTAGTTGCTACGTCAGCACACCACCGGTGTGTTGGAGAGTAAACACACAACATTTACAATTCGAGTAGCCGGCATCACCTACTTTTCGATTTAAAGCTTTCGTGACTGCAAGGATTCATCTTCTTTGGTTCTTTCGGTAAAGTCACGTAGAATGAGAATAATAAAATAAAATAAGACAATAAAATTCTCACGACGTTTCGGCCAAAACACAAGTAGCCTTCTTCAGGTGAAAGAACAGAACTGTCGGGACGACAGCGCTTCAATTGACGTCACCACGTACAGCTCTGTCGTCCCGACAGTTCTGTTCTTTCACCTGAAGAAGGCTACTTGTGTTTTGGCCGAAACGTCGTGAGAATGTTATCATTTTATTTTATTCTTATTCTACGTGACTTTACCGAAAGAACCAAAGAAGATCACCTACTTTGTTGTGGGTTTACTCTCCAAAACACAGGTGGTGTACTGACGTGGCAACTAATCGACATTTTTTTTGGTTAAGTGACAAAACCTTTACTCATTGGCTGCTTCGGTTGGTGGCGGGTTTAAAGCGCCCATTTAAATTCAGCCGATCTAACCCCAAAACAAAATACCTTTATGATGAATAATATCGGTTGAAACGGCCTGCTACGTGTAAAAAAGTGGTAAATACCGCGATTTACGGCGGAGAGTAAACGCCTCGGTGGTGGGGTGGTGGTGGGGGGTGTCGGGAGGATTAGCGAGAGGTCACAGTCTGAAGTTGAGAGTGGCGCGTCGTGAGTCGCGTTGGTCAGCAGAGCGACCCTGAGCTGACCTTTCGCCAGAAGCCGTCGTCGTGATAGCCGACGACCGTGTCATCCCCGCCTTTAAACACGTGACCAGCTGGTTTTAGTGGGGAGTGGGGGCCATAATTGCCATGTTGCTGGGCCCATGCTATTGAGATCCTGGAAGCGTGTGTGGGTGATTGTGTGTACGAATGTTGAACTTCTTTCGCACCACCGTACGTAGCCAACCGTGCCTATCGGAGGTGCTGGGAAAGGACAACAAACTACACGCAAAACGCAGCTCTGAAGAAACGCGTTTTCCATGTAGATTTAAAAGTGCCATTGCTCCAGTGGCCTCCTCATATCGGAAGGGAGAGCGGCGTTCCAGACGGCCACCGGAGTGCGCCTGGAAGCTCCAGGCGACGCGGTGACCGTCTTTGTCCGATGGCCAGCCCAAGAGCCGCTTGCGAGGATGGCCGGAGTCTGCGTGATGGTTGGCTGCTGGGTTCACGCGAGTTCACCACCGCACGTTCAATCCCGACACGTGCTCTCCCAGCCCCCGCCCACCCCCCTCGATCCCCCACCCCCTGCCACCCCTCACCGCCCGGACTCCCAATTCCCCTCTTGAGGACAATGTCACCACCGTCGTCTCGGCCTCCCGTTATGGATTCCCCCTCTGAGTGCGGAGTGCCTTGCGATGATGTTGACGACGATGGTGATGATGTTGATGGGACGGAAGACGAGGTCAGGGTGGGACAGAGCGTGGGGGGAGGGGGGCGGGGGGGGTCTGTGTTCGTGCACGCGCGATGCTTTGCGCTGGGCTGTTTTGACGCAAGCGTCGGCGATAAAAGACCGAACAAAAATCCTTGAAATTCACTTTCAACTGCCGTAGGAACGCCGCTGCTGCCTGACCGCCGAGCTCTTTAAAAAGCAAACGCACCGCAGAGGTGTCACTGGCATCATCATCACCACCACTACCATTCTCATCACCCTCGGTAGCTCCTTAACCGTGGCGGTCGTGGAGAAGCCAGTGATGGCTTTGGCAATCAACTCTCTCCACCTCTTGCGGCCCATTGCGATCTGACGAGATCACTTTAAAATTTAACCAAACTATATATTTTTTATTTTACTAGTAAGGTCACCACTGAGTTCCGTAGCTCTTTCTCAGAAGCGACCTGACCATCACAAACGATCGCTTCAACGAAGCGGCTCATCACGTAGACATTTTTAGCCGCCAAATTACTCGAAACGCGTGATGTTCATTCTAATTGTCGAGGGGGTGGGGAGAACTCCCCGAGAACCCGGAGAAAAATCCACGCGACCACAGGGAGAACACGCAAACTTCAAATATACAGGCGTCAGGGTCGGGATTGAACCCACGACCCCCTGCATACCAGGCGAGGGAGTTAACATCTCGCCACCGCGGCACCCTGAGTCGTACCCCCCCCCCGCCCGCCCACAAAAAAATAATTCACGATTGCAGACGATGTGAAAGAGCGACCGCGTCCTCCCCTGGGAAGCACCGTGAAGCAACCCCACGACTGGGCCTGCGCGATGAAGTATGGTCACACGATCCTCGCCCCCCCTCCCCCCCCGTGTGTGTGTGTGACTGACAACCTTGTGGGGATGCCTCCATCCTAGCAGTGGACGGAGCCTGCGCGGGAGGGTTCCGGAAACCACCCGCGGACGGAATCGGGAGGTGTAGCTTACAAGCGGAGAAGAGTCGCACGCGTGGTTCCAGTCGCTTCGCGTCTTCGTTCCGGTCGCATGCCCCCCCCTGCCCCCTCTGCGCTGTAAGTGTCTCCGCGAGTTTACTTTTTGTTTTGGGTGTTCGGCTTCGTCGAGAATCCCGCCGTCCCCGTCCGTCGCTGGGGTGCAGCTGCTGTGGTCGGTCCAATCGAGAGGCGCCGTCTTGAGTTCGGCATCGCCCCGGTGGTGGGGGGGGGGGCGTAAATCACCCCGGGTGAAGCTGTGCAGACATTTTTCGATTTCGATCACGTTGGGTTGAACGTCCACGCCTGACCACCGCGGGTCTCTGTGACACATCGATAGAGAAACATCGACGTGCAACAGAGACCCGTGGACCGACATGCACTTTACATGATCCATGGACTTGCATAGAGACCCATCGACTCGCGTGCACTTACACGATAGGCTTACATATAGAGGATCATCGATGTACACAGAGACCCGTAGACTGACGTACACTTACATGATCCATAGACTTACATAGAGATAGCAGATTCGCATCCACTCAGATGATCCATATACCTGCATATAGGCCCATACACTAACAACGCCTTGCAATATAGGTCCATAGAGTTGCATACACACACATGATCCGTAGACGATGGACTAACATGGAGACACATGGACTTGCTCAGCTCGTTCTCAGCCAAAAAGTAACTTTTTGTCGCGTTGGTTTCGGCTTCTCTTATTTTCCTCTTTATGCATGTATGTTGAACTCCTTTCGCACCGTACGTACTCATATGTGCTGATCGGAGGTGCGGTGGAAGGACAACAAACTAAACACAAACAGCAGTTCTTAGCAAATTAGTTTTCAATCTAGATGATGATTTAAAAAGTGCATAGCTCCGGTGACTTCCGAATATCGCAAGGAAGAAGCGTTCCAGACGGCCGCAGAAGCGCGCCTGAACGCACGCGACGCTGTGACCGTCTTCGTCCGATGGCCAGCCTAAAAATCCGCCGCTGCGACGGATGACCCCGGAGTTCGCGTGAGCGGCTTTATCCTCCTGGACGGGATGTGAACCCGTGACATTCAGCTTGTGGTGTGGTGGAGCTGCCACAGCAGCAGCAGCGGCGGCGGCGGCGGTGGTGGTGGTGGCATGGGAGAAGGGAACCCCGGGAGAACTGGAATTTCCAAACCATTTCACCTCGAATGGAATCTTTTTGAGTCGTTGCCTGTACAATTATCACCCCCAAGTTATATATATATTGTATTGTCGGAACGTGAAAGATTAAATTTAACACGGCGCGTTAGTCACGTGTGTGTGTGTGTGTAATGTGTCTGTGGATGCTCGCTGAACAGCACTTGCCCCAACAGTATGTTAAGGTTGTACGGGGGATCTATATCTCTGTTGTTTGTGGGGTCGGCAGCGGTTAGTGTCGCGGTTAGTGGCGCTGCGCTAGGAACGCGGTGACCCGAGTTCGAACCCCGTCACGGCCAACACCAGTGACGAATATCTGAACCGGTCTTGGGCGTTATCCACATGGTCGACTCAGCCTCAAATTAGTACTCGGTGCGGTGAGTAGTCAACAAAACATCGCCACTGCGGAGACGAAGGCGACCGGGCGTGTTTGCTGGACCATCCACACCCCTCGTGTGCCGTGCCGGCCTTCGTTAGGTGCTCGCAAAACAGCACTTGCCCCAACAGTCTGTTGATGCTATAACGGCGGGGATCTTTGTGTGTGGGGAGTGGTGGCACAGTGGTCGGCACACTGCATGTACAGTAATACGTCTCTTCACCCCCCCCCCCCTTAACGTCGTTTCGCAACTACGTCGTCACTTTATTAACACCGCCACCTGATTTGCGTCGCCTCAACCCCCCCCCCCCCCACTCACGTCGCTGACAGCGTCGTCATCCGTCCTTTCTCGTTGTCCGTCGCCTCTAGCCTTCGCCACCACCTACCCTCCGAGTAGCACAGTTGGCTATGTGCGGTGGGAAAGAAGTTCTACGTATATATGCAACCTGTAAATCGCTTTGATTTACGTCGTTTCGATGTTAGGTCGTCGCAGCTTTTCAGGAACGCATCCCCCGACGTAAACCGGGGCGTGACTGTATATGTAATTACGTATGCACGCAGCATGTGTACGTTAAACACAAAGATCCATCGTGTAAGCCGTAACAGACTCTGGGGGCAAGCGCTGTTAGCGAGTAGCACCTCTGAAGGCCGGCACGGCACACGAGGTGGGTAGCCAACACCACGCCCGGCCGCCTTTGTCTCCCCAGTGGCCACGTTTACACACACCGCACGCAGGTACTTATTTGAGGCTGAGTCGACCTAGGGGAGGCCCAGGACCTGTTGAGATATCCGCCACTGGTGTTGGCCGTGACCGGGAATTGGAACTCGGCTCACCGAGTTCGTAGCGTCGCGCGCTTAACCGCTGCGCCACCGCTCCCTCACATTGCGCACACACACGAAGCATGCACGAGTACACACACACATGAGTACACACAGAGTACACACACACATGAGTACACACACACATGAGTACACACACACATGAGTACACACACACACGAGTACACACAGAGTACACACACACATGAGTACACACACATGAGCACACGAGTACACGAGCTTCAGTCAACAAATGGAGTTTAATAAACGCGTGCGGGGGGGGGCATCTCCGGCCTTGACGCGTTCGCCTTTGGAAACAACAACAGCAACAACATTCTTGTGTAAGCGCAAACACACAACCTCGTTATCCTCTTACAAAATTAATCGATCATATACAATGATTAATCTACAGCGAACAAATAATATAAGAGTGAGTTCGTAACACATGCACACATATACAGCCATTCGTCTGCAATGAATCGATTCCTCTACGGCAAATACAATCGTCCCCATGCACGCGTCACCAACAAAGTTACGTTTTATAATAAGTAATATATGTTGTTTGTCCCTTGACTGTCACTCTTAATATGGCTTCGTTCGTTTGAACGTTAGGTTGTCCTGGGTGAAAAGTGGGAGCTAGCTTTTTTGTTAGTTTGCCCAATCCTTACCACCTGCTCAAATAACCTCGTAAACAAACAAACGATAATATCTACATGCGCGTACTCTGATCGTATGTGTACTCATAATCCTCTTTCGCAGCGTACGTAGCCAACCGTGCTCATCGGAAGTGCAGAGGGGGGGGGGGAATTAACAAACTTAACACACAAAATGCAGTTCAAAAAGAAATGACGTTTTCAGTTCAGAAGAAAAATAAAGTTGTCAGTGTATCAGTGCCATCACGTGGGGCAAGCGCCTCTGACCAAAGTCGCTCGCAACTCTACGGCTGTTGCTTGACGATGCCGGTTGTCATCTACCGGCGAAGCGTCCCGGTTACTCAAATTGTGAACGCTGCAGCGGGTTTACTCTCCAACACGCAAACCGGTGTGCTGAACTGGTAACGAATCCATACTCTTTGGTTCTTTCGGTAAATTCACGGAGTGAGAAATATTTTTGTTTTTATGTATTTGTTTCTTTTATTTTTCTACCTACGTTACTTTACCGAAAGAACCAAAGGATGTGGATTCCTGCAGTCACGAAAGCCTCAAATGAAGGATTGGTAGCGAATCGGCGGCGCACGTTTTTGTTTACGTGTGACAACCGAACTAATTTGCCGTGTCGGGTGGTGGCGGGTTTAACAACGCATTTATATTTTACGCGATCGAACACAAAAAAAACCCTATTATGGATAATATTTTGTCGCGAAAGCCTACTACTACTAAGTGTTAAACAAAAAAGTATCGGCGAAAATAAATAAATAATTCGCTTTCCCTCCCAACTTGACCAATCTCTTCCCCCACCGTCTCCTACCCTGGTTCTCCCAGGCGGTTAAATAAACCCAACAACGGCAACCACTATTACTAGCTGCTATACAACTACCACCACCGCCGCCACCACCAGGGTTTAATTCCTCGGCCAATATTTTCCAGAACGGGTGAAATCGACGTCGCAGGCATTGCGCGGACGCTCATTAAACGCGGTTAATCTTTTAAGCGCGAGCGAAGGTTAAATGTAGCTACCGTCACTCGAGGTCACCATCTGGTGACCCCCAGGCACTCGTTAAGGCACGTGTTATACACACCACCACTGCCATCAACTACCGCCAACGCCGCCACCACCACCGCCCCACACACAACCACTTTCACGAGGACAAACGAACGCGACACGGATGTGGCGGGTGCCAAAATAAACCCACCCCGGGTGGTACAGCGTTCCGGCAGTTTTCCGGCTTAACTCAGAAATATTTATACTGGAGGAATCCGATGAGCTATAAAGCTCTTTTTCACCGATGTCCAGTAGGGGCACGGGGTCAGAACGTTACAACAACTGAAGCATTGACCACCACCACCATTACCCCCACCACCACCACCGCCGCCACCACCACCACCGACAACCACTGCTTCTTTGGCCGGAAGATCTGAAACGCAACCGCGTAGCGTCGTGGATTCCCCGCCACCCGCTGCGCCCGTGCATGCCCCCCGACGGAGGCGGCGGCTGCTGCTGCTGCTGGCGGCCTCGCGGCCATTCGCTGCTGCCAGATTTGTTTTTGTTAACACGTGGGGACGTGGACAGGGGATCAGGAGGAGGAATAAGAATAATAAGAGGGTGAAGAGGAGGATGAGAAGGAGGAGGAAGAAGAGGAGGATGAGGAGGAAGAAGAGGAGGAGGAAGAAGAGGAGGGAGAGGAGGAGGATGAGAAGGAGGAGGAAGAAGAGGAGGAGGGGGAAGAAGAAGGAGGGGGAAGAGGAGGATGAGAAGGAGGAGAAGAGGAGGATGAGGAGGAGGAAGAGGAGGAAGAAGAGGAGGGGGGAAAAGTGGAGGAGGAAGAAGAGGAGGAGGGGGAACAAGAAGAGGAGAAGAAGAGGAGTAAGATGTTCCATCGCTACACCAAACGTCGCCACCTTCACGACGCGGGTGTCGCTGCTGGGGGGCGGGGGGTGGGGAGAGAGGGGGGGAGAGAGGCGGTGGTCGTGGCTCATCATGGCCGGCGACGCGTGGAATCACTTCTTCATGGCGGCGCCTTCCTTGACGAGGGCGCTGAACTCTGCGCGGAGGGAGGCAGGGGGGAGAGATAAGAGGAGGAGAGGCAGGGGGTGGGGGGGAATAGGAGGGAGGTGAGAGGGAGATGAGAAGTTGGAGGGTGGTGGATGAAGGTGGTGGTGATGGTGAAGGTGGTGGTGAAGGTGGTGGTGATGGTGGTGAAGGTTTTAGCGGTGATGTTGACTGATGTTGTGATGGTCGTGGTTGGTAGTGGTGCTGATGAACATTGTTGATGAAGGTGATAATAGTGGTCGTGGTGATTGTAATGGTGGTGGTAATGATGATGTTGATGTCAGATGCTCAGACCATCACGGTTAATAAGCTCAGTCAGGATGATGATGATGATGATTACTAAAGAACATGCTACTGATGCTGCTGCTGCTCACACCATGATGTGAATGGCGATGCTGCTGATGATGATGCCGTTAATGGCAATGTTGAATGGTACCGTCAAAGTCGATTCGCCCGTCCTGGTTGCTGTCGATCACCTGGAGGATCTGATCTGTCTCCAGGTCACTCAACTTCTTGTTTAACTCCCCAGTGATGACCGCTGTCACATACCTAACAACATCATCATCATCCTCGTCAATATTAAATCATCGCCGTAAGCATCACGATCATCATGACTGAGTGACCGAGTGACTCGATAGGTAGCTGAGTTGAGTGTGTAAGGGATTGAGTAGGTGAGCGAGTGGATGAGTTGAGTGAGTGAGTGGACGAGTGAGTGGGTGAGTTGATGAGCGAGTGAATCGATCACTGAGTGAGTGGACGAGAGGGTGAACGAATGGATGTGTCAGTAAGTTGGTCAGTTAGCTGGTAAGGGATTGAGTAGGCGAGTAGGTGTATGAGTGCGCTAGTGGGTGAGTGGACGAGTAAGTGGGTGAGCGAGTGAATCGATCACTGAGTGAGTGGACGAGAAAGTGAATGAATGGATGGGCCAGTAAGTTGATCAGTTAGCTGGTAAGGGATTGAGTAAGCGAGTGTGTGTATGAGTGAGCTAGTGGAAGAGTGAGTCGATCACTGAGTGAGTGGGTTAGTGGACGAGTGAGTGAGTAAGTGAATGAATGAGTAAGAGATTGAGTTGGTAGGTGAATGAGTGAGTTATTCGATCAATGAGTGAGTTTAGTGAGTGGACAATTGAGTGGGTGAGTGAGTGGATGAGCGAGTAAAGTCCATCAGTGAGCGAGTGTGTAAGGGATTGAGTCGGTGGGTGAATGGACGAGTGAGTGGGTCAGTGAGGAAGTGGATTAGTGAGTGCGTCGATAAGTGGGTGAGTGCGTGAGTAAGTGATTGAATGAGTGAGAGGCTGAGTTGGTGAGTGGGTGAGTAAGTGATTGAATGAGTAACATACTGAGTTGGTGAGTGGGTGAGTAAGTGATTGAATTGAGTGAGCTGCTGAGTTGGTGAGTGGGTGAGTGAGTAAGTGATTGATTGAGTGAGAGGCTGAGTAGGTGAGTAAGTGAATGAGTGAGAGGCTGAGTTGGTGAGTGGGTGAGTAAGTGATTGAATGAGTGAGATGCTGAGTTGGTGAGTGGGTGAGTGAGTAAGTGATTGATTGAGTGAGAGGCTGAGTAGGTGAGTAAGTGATTGAATGAGAGGCCGAGTTGGTGAGTGGGTGAGTAAGTGATTGAATGAGTGAGCTGCTGAGTTGGTGAGTGGGTGAGTGAATAAGTGATTGAGTGAGAGGCTGAGTAGGTAAGTGATTGTGTGAGATGCCAAGTTGGTGAGTGCGTAAGTGATTAAATGAGAGGCTGAGTTGGTGACTGGGTGAGTGATTGAATGAGTGAAAGGCTGAGTTGGTGAGTGGGTGAGTGTGGGTTGCATGGCCGACAACAACAGCTGCCGTCATTTAATCCCAGCATCATCAACCAGAGCCCCCCCCCCCCCGCTCCCCCCAATTCCTCCCCACGCGTGGTTGGGAGGAGCAGAAGACTTTGGAGGTCCCTCGTGATTGCCCCCCACCCCCTCGTGATCCCCCCCCCCCACCCTCGTAATTCCCCCCCCACCCCTCGTGATCCCCCCACCCTCGTGTTTGCCCCCCCCCACCCCTTTCTCCACCTCTCACTCCAAACCACAACACCCCCATCCCACTTCCCACCCCCCTCCTCTACCCACAATTTTCTCGCCCGCACCCCAGCCAGACCTGAAACCGAACCCGGATCCTGAGTGGAAAATAGTTTTATTTAATAAGGCGAAAGGTCTGGGACCCAGGGAGGCAGAGTTAAGTTCAACCCCTTGTCAGACTGCGTGGTTTGTGTGCTGTGTGTCTGGATATCTGGTCTGTGTGCTGTGTGTCCGGCCATCTGGTCTGTGTGCTGTGTGTCCGGCTGTCTGGTTTGTCTTCTGTGTGTCCGGCTATCTGGTCTGTGTGCTGTGTGTCCGGCTGTCTGGTTTGTCTTCTGTGTGTCCGGCTGTCTGGCCTGTGTGCTGTGTGTCCGGCTATCTGGTCTGTGTGCTGTGTGTCCGGCTATCTGGTCTGTGTGCTGTGTGTCCGGCTGTCTGGTTTGTCTTCTGTGTGTCCGGCTGTCTGGTTTGTGTGCTTTTATAGGTGCTCGCTAACAGCGCTTGCCCCGTACAGTCTGTTAAGGCTATATGGGGGATCTTTTTCTTTGTGTGTGCGTGGGGAGCGGTGGTGTAGCAGTTTAGCGCGCCGCGCTACGAACCCGGCGATCCGAGTTCGATTCCCGCTCACGGACAACACCGGTGACGATTATCAGAACCGGTCCTGGGCCTCCCCTAGGTCGACTCAGCCTCAAATGAGTACCGGTGTAGCGTTGTGTCGTAAACATCGCCACTGAGGGATACAAAGGCGGCGGGCGTGATTGCTGGCCCACCCACCCCCTCGTGCGCATTGCCGGCCTTCATTGGTGCTGCTACTCGCTAACAGCACTTGCCCCGACATTCTCTTAAGGCTATACGGGGGGGGGGGGGATAGTCTTGTCTCTTGTGCGTGTGTGACGGCGCTCGCCTAAGCTCGTTCCACTCGATGTATCCGCTGTTGTCCTTGTCCAGCTTCAGGAAGACTTTGCGAATGTCCTCCTCCTTCTCCCCGATGCGGCTCAGACACTCGAGAAGCTTGCGGTAGTTGAGACTCGTGGCGGCTTGAGGGAGGGGGTTGGTGGGGGGGGCGGAAAGAGAGTCACGGGGGGTCACCATCATCAGTCAGCATCATCAGCAGCACCAGCAGCGGCAGTAAGCCTATCGTCATCATCGTCGATATTGTCATCACGAGCAAGCAGCGACATTGGAGCTATCTTCACCGTGATTCTGTACATCAGCAGCATCAGCCAGCCTCAGAGAAAGAGAAGCAGCCTCAGAGAGAGGCAGTGGTGTATCAGCAGCATCAACTCTGGAAGGATTAATCATCATGAACATTAAAAGCTGCATTATCAACATCAGCAGCGGAGGTGCGGAAAATAATTGATGAAGTTCAACATGCATACATCATTAACATCAGAAGCTGCATTATTCTCGTCAGCAGCAGAAGTAAGGTGATCATCATCGGTAGCAGCAGAAACTGAAGCCGCGGTGTCAACAGGCTCACTGTCAAGAGCAGCATCAGAAGCATTAGAACAATCATCAGCAGTATCATCGCCATCAGAAGCATACTCATGACATGCCACCCACCAGCATCATTAGTAATAAGCAGAAACATCATCATCAGCCAGTAGCTTCATCACACAGCATCATTAGTAATAAGCAGAATAGCATCATCATCATCAGCCAGTCGCTTCATCACCAGCATCCATCAGTAATAAGCAAAAGCATCATCATCAGCCAGGTAGCTTCATCAAGAGCATCAACAGCGTTAGTCCCAGACGCTCAATTATCATCGTCAGCAGCAACATCATCATCGTCAAAATCAGCAGCAGAATAGTCAAAATCACCATCGTATAAAAACAATCCTGAATGAAATGAACTCGATGTGGGTCACTCCACTGAACAGATCTCCGTGAGAGAGAGAGAGGAGAGAGATACTTGTGTTGGTATCTGATATGAATAAGGGCCATGACCACCCACAGTGTCGGTGGCGACCGAGTCGAGTCCTTGGCGTTCCGTGTTTCTAGAATCTAGAATTATTGAGATTTGTTTGTTTAATTTTGTTGTGTCCCCCCCTCCCCGCACCTCCGATTCGCACGTTTGGCTACGTCCGGTGGTGCGAAAGAAGTTCAACGTACAGTAATACAGTACATACAGTACATACACCTTCTGCTCGGCTGCGTGCAACGCAGACTCGGTCACAAGCGATCTGGGACGTTCGTCCCTGGGAGCGTGAAGGTCGCTCCCGTGAATAGAGAGAGGGGGTGTGGGGGGGGGGCAGCCCCCCCTTAGTCAGGGGAGACTCGAGCCGAGTTCGAAACGCACCACGGATCGTCCGTGAGGCAGCACCGCGCGCGTGCCGTCGGGACAACAACAACAACAGCAACAACAACAGCAGCAACAACAACAACAAATTCACGCACGCCCGGTGCGGGGCACCTCCTTAAAAAGTCGTCTTGAGGGTCTGAGTGAAAGCAGCTCTGGTTTTGGCCTCACTAACGGGACTTCTTTCCTGCTGTCCTTGGTTAAATAAAGGGCATCGCATTTTTTGTTCGATTAAGGCCATTATTTTTTTTATTTAAAGTTTTCGTGACTGTAGGGATTCATATTCTTGGTTCTTTCGGTAAAGTCACGTAGAGGGGAAACAATAAATCATAAAATATAAAACAATAAAATTCTCACACCTGATGATGATTGCTTGTGTTGCAGTCGAAACGTCGTGAGAATTTATTGTTTTCTATTTTTATTATTTTATTGTTTTCCCTTCTACGGACTTTACCGCAAGGCCATTATTGTTCGTATGGTTAAATAAAGGATATCGTTATTATTGGTTTAAAAAAGGGTCACTGTTATTGTCGTTATTAGTATTACTGGTTTCAAAACAAAAATGGGGACATGTATAATTGGTGAAATAAAGGGTATTCATAATATTATTTTATTTTCTAACACCGTGCGGTTTGGCCGCACTCGCTGCGCTCCTGGGTCGGCGCTGTCCGTGGTGCTGAATTAGAATCACACCCCCGACCCTCCTCCCCCCGTGGAGCCGAGCGAATTATTGAGGCGCTTGAGGCGTTTTGTGGGGGGCCGCTTGTGATGGGGGTGAAGGAGGGAGGCGGCGGGGGGGGGGGGGTAGGTCGAGTAACCAGGGGGTGGGTGGGCGGGGGGGCATGAAGGATATTGAATGGGACTCAGCGTAGGAAAGTTTCACCGCTTTGCCACCCTCAATTAAACAAAAACAAATACTTTTTATTCTACAAGGCAAGACCCACCGAGCGATGTAGCCTCTTTTCAGAAGCGACCCTGGCTATCACAAATATACAGCTCAGCGAAGTGGCTTATTACCACGTGGAAACTTCTAGCAGCCAAATGAATAATCGCGCATGAATCTGCCAATATAAAATAACGACGAGAACACTCCACGGGGGGGTGGGGGGGGGGGGGGACATGCGTCAGGGTTGCGATCGAACCCACGACCTCCTACATACCAGGCGAGATAGTTAACACCCGCTACAGCCCGGACACACACACACTTCGTTGAGCTATCGTTTGTGAGCAGGTTGCTTCTGAAAAATATCTACAGAGCTTTACCTGGTAAAATACAATATAAAATACAAAAAAAAGTTTAGTTTTAGTATCTGAATTTATAAAAAAACACACACACCAGACCCGCCACACGCTCCCGACACGCGGAATTCACGTGCCCTGACCCGAAATCGAACCGTGTTTCCATCGGAGGAGCTGGCCACGCTGCGCAGATCACTGTCGGACATCTTTGCCCCGAGCGCAGAAACCATCTCCAGAAGCTGCTTCTCCCGGTCCATAACGCCTGGCTCGCCATGCTGGGGGGTGAGATGGAGGAGGGGCGGGGGGGAGAAGGTGGGGGGGGGGCGAGGTGGACAATCGGGAGGTCCACAACAGCCCTGACCCGGGCGAGTGGTGGTCCGCGCAGGGGTAGACCAGACAACCGGACACACAGCAGACAGCAGGACACAGAGCACACAGACCAGACAGCCGGACACACAGCAGACAGCAGGACACAGAGCACACAGACCAGACAGCCGGACACACAGCAGACAATCGTATTCTGACTCAGGGTAGTGGACAATCTGGAGGTCAACAACAGCCCGGACCAGAACACCGAATACACTCACAGCCCGCTCCCTCCTAGCCCCGACTCTACCCTAGGGGTCGGCAAAATCCAAATAACAAGAAGGGATCTTTTTGTTTTCGAATTCGGTAAAAAACAACAACAACAACAAACCCTCAATAATTTCAAGAGCGACCAATGCAATGTGGTCAATACGAGACGGCGATGGTCCTTCATAAATCACGCCACGAAGCAGCAGTCCTTAGCGATGCAGCGTGGGCCTCTGCTCTAACCCATAGCCGCAGCTCTGACGCTTAGCGTTCAGCCCCAGCATTCGCCCAGAAGGCTTAGCCGCTACCCTCACTAGCTCAGCCTCCGTCTCGACGTGCACACACAAGTGCAGCGCCTTGCCAATCCACTGCTAGGCGAGTCCCCCCCCCCCCCCCCACACACACACACAGTGGTGGCGGGAAGATGTCACATGGCCATGCTTGACCCCACGCTGTTGCTTAGCCGCGGGTCGGTGGGAGGCCTAGGGAATGCAGTACAACCACGGGTCGTGCTGCAACGAGAGTGTCCACCACTCGCCCGTTGGCCGATACCACCTTAATATATAGAGGACCGCAGAGCTTGCGGGGAGGGAGATGGGGAGGATTTGGCAAAAGGATCGCAACCGCGTGGCTGCTGATGTTGCTGCACTTCCCGCTTCGTCTGCGGTTCCTCCTCGTCCCCTCCCTGTCTCCACCCCCCTCGCTCTTTCTCTCCAAACAACGATCGGATGCTGACCGATGCGGTGGCGCGCAACGAGTTGAATTAAATATCGTCAAATATTAATTCGACACTCTGCCGGTAGAGCCTGGTGAATGGAATTACACATTAGCCGGGCTCGATCCCAGCTTCAGCCTCCGAGATCTTGGCGAGATAGGGTCGCATTTCGGCACCGTCGATCAGAGAGGCCAAGCCCTGACTCGTAAGCCATGAACCCCAGCCCCCCGATTCGAACCTCCGCGGTGACAGCGCTCACAGTCACAGCCAAAAACCGCTCCCTCTCACGAGGGCAGCGGTAGCTTAAAGCGAGCTTCCAACTCAAACGAGCACCGAGCGGTTTTCGAGTCCGGCGGTGGAAATTCACGTTCCCATGACGGATGCGAGACTACTCGTGGACGACCTCGGTGACCTTTCCGCAAAGAGTGGCAACTCGTTTAGTGTACCGCGGAGGGGTGAGCACCCTCGAGCGTCTCATGGCCCGAACTCTCGACTCGAACCCTTCCCCTAGAGCTTGGTTCCAACACTAACCCGTGTACATGGCCCTAACCCTTAACCCGAACCATAGCATCAACCCGAGCCCACGACACTATGCCAATCCATAACCCTAACCCCAACTACAACCTACAATACTAAACCCAACCACAACGCTAGCCCAACCACAACCTTAACCCAACCACAACCTTAACGCAACCACAACCTTAACCCAACCACAACCTTAACCCAACCACAACCTTAACGCAACCACAACCTTAACGCAACCACAACCCTAACCCAACCACAACCTTAACCCAACCACAACCCTAACCCAACCACAACCCTAACCCAACCACAACCCTAACCCAACCACAACCGTAATCAAACCACAACCTTAACCTCACTACAACCCTAACCCAAACACAACCCTAAACCAACCACAACCCTAACCCCGACCAGAATCCTAACTCCAGACACCACCCTCATCCTAACTCAAGACCCATATCACACCCCGATCCTTGACCCCTCACCAAAAAAACGATGGCATTAAGGGATGTTGTGGTATGCTAAGGATTTAGGATCGGCTTTAAGGGATACAAACACGGGTTCGATTTACGGCCAAGTACTCGATCCCAGCAACAATCGATTCATCGACGCCACCCATCGTGAAGAGAATACAATAATCGCGAAAAATAATCGATGCAGACTTCTATAAAAGTGGTCTCAATGTTGCCACGAATCTCACCACCACCACAACAACAACAACCAGCCCGCCTCTCTCACCTCGACCACTTGAGGCACGCTCTCCTCTCAGACTCAAAAGGTCAAAATCTTCCTCTGCTTTCTCTCCTGTATCTCTCTCTCTCTCGCGCGCGCTCTCTCCCTAGATCTCTCTCTCTCTGGTAGGCCGTCTGCGTCTATGTCTGTCTACGTGTCCGCGTCTGTCGCAGTGCAGCAGTGGAGATTGCTCCCCCAGGTCTCCCGATCGCAGGCCGCACACAGCACGCACACACCAAGCAACACAGAACGCGTCTTCTCCCCGTCTCATCCCAGGGTCCCTGCCCATCCCCTTTATATAAAGAAAGGAGACGAGGTCCCTGTGCATCGGAGATCCCTATTAATAGGGGAGGGGGGGGGGACTCTTGAGGATTATAGGGGTTCAGCCCCTCCCTCCCTCTGACCCCCCCCCCCCTCTACTCTACCCCAACGGAGAGGCCCCCTAATTAATCTCGGCTCCGTCGCATCTCTCATCGCCTCCGGACCCCCCCCTCGCCACCCCGCGCGCGCGCGCAGCGGGAGTCTCAGATGCTCTGGTGGGGGGGGGTGGGGGCCAATGTGAATGCGGGGGAGCGGGGGGTGGCCTTGGGGAGGGGTGCGGGGGGGGGGCGCTTGGACGTGTGGGGTGGAAGGATGGGAAGGATGGGAAGGATGCGTCTGTGCGTGTGTCGTCTGTGTTGAGGAGCGATGGTGTAGCGGTTGGCGCTACGCTGCGCTATGAACCCGGCGACCCGGGTTCGATTCCTGCTCGCGGCCAACACCCAGAGACGATTATCTAAACCTGTCCTGGGCCTCCTCCCCTAGGTCGACTCGGCCTCAAAATGAGTACCTGGTGCGGTGTGTAAACATCGCGACTGGGGAGAGAAAGGCGGTCGGGCGTGGTGTTGGCCAACCACCCCGTCGTGTACCATTCCGGCCTTAACAGCACTTGCCCCTACAGTATGTTAAGGCTATACGAGGGATCTTTGTCTTTGTTGTGTGTGTTGGGGAGCGGTGGTGCAGCGGTTAGCGCGCCGCGCTGCGAACCAGAGTTCGATGTCCCGCTCACTACCAATAACAGTGGCGAGTATCTAAACCGGTGCTGGGCCTCCCCTACGTCGTCTCAGCCTTAAATAGGTACCTGGTGCGGTGTGTCAACCGTCAGCAGTGTGTCGTTCCGGCCTTCATAGGTTCTACTCGCTAAGCGCACTTGCCCCCAACAGTATTTAAAAGGCTATACGGGTGACCTTTGTCTGTACGTGTGTTCGTGGGTGTATGGGAAGTGGTGGGGGGGTATGTGCATGTGTGGGGCGGGAAAGGGGTAGGATGTGCGTGTGTGTAGGGCTAGGATGTGTTTGTGGGTTGGTGGGGCTTTGTGGGTTGGATTCCCGATCACGGCCACCAACATTCAGTGACGATTATCCGAACCGGTCCTGGGCCTGCCCTAGGTTGACTCAACCTCAAATGAGTACCTGGTGCGGTGTGTAAACATCGCCACTGGGGAGACAAAGGCGGCCGGGCGTGGTGCTGGCATCCCAGCCCCTCGTGTGCTTACTAACAACAGGTTATACGGGGGGTCTTTGTTTGGGGAAACAAAGGCGGCCGGGCGTTATTCTGGTCATAACACTTAATCGTTCGCTGTGGCGGTCTTAATAGGTGCTCGCTAACAGAACTTGCCCCAACAGTCTGTTAAGGTTATACGGGGGATCTTTTCCTTCGAGTGTGTGTGTGTGTGTATTTGAGTGAATGTGTAAATGCGTGCGTGTGTTGTTTTGCCAACTCTGATGCGAGTGAATGTATGTGTGCGCGTGTGTGTTGGAGTGTTGGTGTGTTGGTTGTGTGTGTATTTCTAATTGCGTCAATGCTGTGTGGTGTGCATGCGCGGTGTACGTGTGTACGTGTTTTCGGCGGTTCGTGCAGTGCGCTACGAACCCGGCGGCCCGAGTTCGATTCCCGCTCGCAGTTACCAGCACCAAGTGCCGAGTATCTCAACTGGTCCTGGGCCTCTCCTAGGTTGACTCAGCCTCAAATGAGTACCTCGTGCGTTTGTATAAACATCGTGTTGGCCACCCACCCCTTCGCGTGCCAGCCTTCATAGCTGTTCGCTAACAGCACTTGCCCCAAAAAGTCTGTGAAGCTACACGGGGGATCTTTGTCTTTGTTAATCTATAAACTGACTGAGATGACTCAGTTAACCGATAACACCTGGGTCTCTCCGTGATCATCTGCTGCAAGCAAGCATGCGACACTTCAGTTGGCCTCAAAGTGCACCAAAGTGAACCATCCCTTCGTGACGAATGACGGCTGTTGTTACTATATTTGTAAAAAATAGTACGTGAGCATGTCAGCCCAGAACACATCATGGAGCAAAGTGGGGATGACCCTGCTGAGGCTGCGGTGCCTCAAATATTGGAAGAATTAGTCACCCCCTGTGAGTGGCTGGCTGAAGTGCCATCCGTTGAGGAAGTACTGAAGGCGATTCGGAGTCTGAGACCAGGAAAGGCACCGGGCAGAGATGATCTCCCAAGCGAAATGCTGGGGGAGGGTGGCGTTTGTGCACAGACTGCCCTACATGGCATCATACAACAGTCTGGACTACCGGATGGGTTCCGCAGGATTGGAAGGATGCCCTGCTCTTTAAGAAGGGGGACCGCACAGACTGTCACAACTACAGGGGCGATAGAAACGTCGTGATATTTTTATTCATTTTATTTTATTATTATTATTTCTACGTGA